AGGCATTTTGTAAATGGACAAGTGGTGAGCAGGGGCAGGTGCTGCGACCTGACTTCGAGTCACATCTCTAACTCCCCGCAGTTCCCAGAAGACCAGCGTTATGTGTAGTAGCCGACATGCTGCAAGGTATGACTTTTATACTTTACAGCATCCCTCTACGCCAGGGATGGGCAATCTATGCCCCCCCCCCCCAAGTTGTGGTGAAACTACAAGCCCCATCATGCATCTGTCTCTTGGATGCACACCTGTGACTGTGAGAATCTGGCAATGCCTCATGGCATTTGTAGTTCCACCACAGCTGGAGGGCCACCTGGACTACCCCTGGACTACACGTAACATGCAGCATGCAGGGGTAGGAAACCTCGGCACTCCAGCTGTGTGGAACTGCAAGTCCCATGAGGCATTGCAAGACTCTGCCGGCCACAGGCATGACTCCCAGTGGCCAATGCATGATGGCATTTGTATTTTCACCACATCTGGAGTGCAGAGGTTGCCTACTTTAATGATCATTTGCACACCCGGTGTGGTGAGTGAATTATTTTTTCTGGAGTTTGGCTTAAAGCTGGCCATACAGTGGTAGATCTTCATATGAAAAATCTCATCTGAACATTCGATAATGCCAATAGAGACTTGAATGTTGTTCAAGATTTTGTTTCATTGTAATATTCAATTTTGGAATGAATGGAGTTCCTCAAACAAAAATCACATTCACTGTTAGAACTTTGTTCATTGGAGAAAACTTTTCCATCCTGCACCATTGACCTGTTTTATACAGTCGAAAACGATCGTCGATTTGACCCCATTAACTAAAGTCAAACGAACTTTTCAAAACCTCACAGCCTTCTAAGTGGCTACCCACACGCACACAATGCAAAATTGATCAAGATCATAAAACAGGAAGTAAGCTGAAACAAGCTCACTTCCTGCCGTTTCTCTAAGACATAGAACACAACCTTGTCTACCAGTTCTAAAGCTGCACATTGCACTGTCTATATTTTTAAGATCCATCATTTACTACCTCTAGCTCATAGTATCAACCCTGCGAATTAGGAGTAGATACTGTGAGATACTTATTGGTAACACTTCAATGAGGACCATTGCTGAAGGACACTATGGGGGCCATTGGAATGTGGCCAACTGCAGAATGCAGATACCGACTTTTAGAAAAGTCAGAGCTAAGGGCTACTCAGTATACTGCAGAGCTGTAGCTAGCTCCTTTTGTGCCCCAGGCAAGAACAAAAAAAGTGCTCCCCCCCCCCAATCCTCATCGCTCGGCCATGCTGCTGTGACAGTGGCACCCTCCTCTGCACTACGGCCCCTGGGTTTAAGGGGCTCTAGGTGCACCATTCAACAATATGTTCTTATCTATTTGTTACCAGTCAGAACTCAGAAATGCCTACACTTTATTCTTCAGTGAAATACATTCCAGGTACTTCTAAAGGAAATCTTTACAAAGTCTTCAAGAAACCCCTGTGCTCTGCCAACATGCTGGCGAGAGGGGCCTTTGCTCTCTGTGTAGAAGCAGTAGTCTTTCTGCTGAGGTCCAACACCCCCCCTAAAGAGGTAGGGCCCAGAGAACACAAGTCAAAGCCAGAGCTCTCCAAACACAGGAGGCACACGCTCTGGTTATTGGAGAGCTATAGATCTGACTCAGTAAGGGGCATGTGAGACCTCTGCAAAGAGACCACTGCTTCCACACAGAGAGCAAGGGTCCTTCCCTGCAGTATGCTGGCAAGGCACATGCTTTTCTACTTAGGCTGTACCTACTTTCTAAGGAAGATAAGTATGGCCCCTTTCACGGGCCCTTTCCAGTGCAATTGGTGTCACTCTTGTGACATCTGTGTCCATTCAGTTTCTTCCTCCTTCTTGCAAAACTGAGCTGGTCTATGAGCAGTCAAATGTAAGTGGACATGTGTCCGTTTGCATCCAAATACCTCCAATCAGTCACAATCAGGTCTGCCAAAACCGAGCTCTGTTCCGTTTTTTGCGGACCTGGATGGAGTCAGGGCAGTGGTGATCGGATGTAAACGCACTTCTGTTTCGATCCACATTGAGCTTCCGATCAGATCCGCCTAAAAAACTGACAGGAGGACCCGATTGGACTAACTATGTGAAAGGGGCCTAAGACTATGAACATATTTTGCTTTGATGAGTCTGAAATATGTCTAGCTGATTTAAACTGAACGTTCAGGTGGGTTTTAAACTCTTAATAAACGTACTCTTATTTTGTTGATCTAGTGAAGAGACAAATGTAGATTTATAATGCTGTGATACTGAGGTCGTGCTAACGAACAATGACTATACTATTCTAAATGTGTCACAAGGCGGCTTGCTAAAGGGATTTTCCACACTGCCTGAAGTTGTTCTTATTTACCTCCCTCGCCACGGCTGCTGCCCCAGGCACTTAAAGTGCTGATGAAATTACTTACAACGGATGCTGCTCCTTAAATTTTAAAAGTTTTAGTTTCCTGCAGAATCAGCTGATCCCCTGAGCACTGGTCCTGATAGTCTGTTTTAGGGTGGCTCCTTTCATTTGCAGCGTCCTATGGAGTCACCCTTGTGTGTGCTACGGTAGTAAGCTGTGTGTGTCACCACAAACACACAGATACAGCAGGACAAGCCACTGTCCTCCTCCCTTCTCCCCCCTCCTTCCTCCTCCAAGCTAGTAGATGGACGGCTTCTGGAGACTGCTCTGTCCCTTTTAATCTTGCACCAGATAGGACGTTCAGGGACGCCGAGCTGGGAGCATCTTGGAGATCTTCTGAAACAATATTGACTGTAAGTGCTTTGGTGAAAATGTAAGGACATACTTTGCTGGGCGATGTATATTTGTTTGATCTGGATTCCTTGTTTAAAAAAAGGTTGAGAGTTTAATACTACTTTAAAGTGAACATATAAAAGAAGACATTGACAGGTTACACAACGTAAAACATAGCTAAAGCTGGCCATACACAGTTATGTTTCTTTCATTCAACCTGCGAGCTGCATAAAAAAACTATAACAGATTCCTCCATTCATGCTGAACAACACCGTCTGCTTTGTATATTGACAGTGGTGGATATGCCGCTGTCAGATTACTCCAACAGTGATGCCAACTGAATGGCTGCTGTCACTGTTTGCCGAAAGATTTTCCATCCAGCTTATTCAACCCTCTGATGAAAGGATGTCCAGATGGAAGGGTGGCAACAGGGCCGTCCACTAAATGGTGACAAAATGTGTACAGTGTATTGCCGGCTTAAGACAGCGTGCAAAATGCAATACACCCCGAATCGCGTATTCCCTTTTGGTCAACATTTTTTGGGTTATTATGTAATTAGTCTGTGCATTAATCGGTGTCTTTCATATCAGCCTGGAGTTTAGTTTTAATACATTGTAATAAAAATTTATTTCAAAGCCATCAGCGTACCCCTTGTTAACATCACCTTCTGCTTGTCCCCTATTGTATCCAAGTTACAGGACTACAGAAGTGAACTGCAGAGCGGTATTGGGTGTTCCCAACAGGAATGGGTGTGAAATCTTCCAATGGGGGCACCTCTCACTTCCTGTTGTGTTTTCTGGACAGAAAGTGAAGTGAAATCTCCCCAATGGGACACAGACAGATGAAAAAAATACCTGGCATGAATTGTAACCATTTATAAAAGACCTTTACAACAAAGTTGTGTGGACAATTGACAGCTATGAAAATATAACTGGCCAGAAATGTATCCTGCTGGTGGGCAACTCCGGCCCTCCAGCTGTTGTGGAACTACAAGTCACATGAGGCATTGCAAGACTGACAATTTTAGACAGGACTCCCGTAGGCAGAGGCATGATGGGATTTGTAGTGTTAGCACAGCTAGAGGGCTGGAATTGCCCTTGTTCTGTCCAAACAGCGCAACTCATCGAAATCAGCAACCAGGTCACTTCCAGCGTGTTGCCAGCAGGAGATTTGGACGAGTTGGCAGTAGTGCGGATGCATGGGCACCTGTAACAGCTTGGTGCTTGTAGTGGGTTTTGTTTAATTATTTGGAATACATAGGATGTTGAAGGGTGAATTAAAAGATTCACCCTCGCAGTAACATCCTATGTCAGACATCTCAACCTGCAGAAAACTCATTTCAGAGAGGTGGCTTCACCGGTTACTGCCCCCCACCAGGATCTCACCAGGGCTGCGTGTGTGTGCCAGGCTCTCTGGGTGATGCGGGTGGGTGCCAAGCTCTGCGGGTTGGCATCGGGATCTCCTGGGAGTGCGGGTGGGTGTCGGGCTCCAGGGATATATGGGCGTTGTGGGGCTGTACTTTCCTGTGTCTGTCTCTGTGGACAGTGGAAAGGAGGAGATGTGGGACCAGATCAGAGAACACCGACACAGTCGAATTTGCTGACCTCAGCATCTGCGCTTGCGCACAGACGGGATATATGAGGAAACAGGCATTTATTTACAAAGTATCAATTTGTAATTGTTAATTGTGAGCGTTGATAATATGCCATCCATGGCAGTAAATGATGGATGGCATTCTATGCACATTCACAATTAATATCGTAAGCAATTACGATTACGCTGCCTGAGGTCCACAGCAAGAGTGGGAACTCAGGCAGCTGAACTTCTTTAAAAATGTAAAGGATCGGTGGCCTTTAGTATGGAGGCATTTTTATGAGTACAAGTACTCCTTAAAAAGGCATGTATCAGCCCTGATACCGATACCCATGCATGAGCTTTTATTTTACAAAAGAGAACATAACATTGCATAAAATGAGATTAAACATTTCCATATGCTATCCAAAACTAAAAAAAGAAAATGGCTATAAAGTTTATTAAGCAGTAGTATGTGAACAGCCAGCAGTCAATGCGTTGAGAACAGTAATATTTTAGGAAGAGTGAAGGCAGCCCACGTTTTCACTCAGTGCATGGCACACTACGGCAGCGCGGCCATGTTGTGGTTGGCAGCAAATGACAGAACCCGGAAGCGTTGCCGGGGGAACCGAGCAGCGCAGCCAATGACGCGCATAGGACGTCGCTCGTGCGTCGCATCCGGTCTTTGCCGGTGTGTTGTTGTGTCTTGCCGGCTGTCCATGGAAGTGGCTCGGCTCTGATGGTGTAGCGCTCCGGGAAGGGAAAGCCGCCAGCAATGGCCGCCGAGGCAGATAAAGACATGAACCTGTCGTTGATCATCAAATGGGGCGGCCAGGAGTTCCCTTTGTCTGCCCTGTCTGAGGAGGACACAGTGCTGGACCTGAAGCATTCCCTGAAGAGCCTGACCGGGGTGCTGCCAGAGAGGCAGAAGCTTCTGGGACTCAAATACAAGGGTGAGCTGGAGGCTGGCTCTCATTGCACTATATCACCTATTACTTGCAGGGCAGGAACCCAGATCAACCTGGTCTGATCCATTCTTTGCTCCCCTCCTCATCAGAGTTCCTGGTGCTTGAAAAAAGTTCCTGAGTTAAAGAGACCCTGTCACCAGCCATTACTTAAACAAAAGTCTTCCCATGAGATTATATGTGTATGTATCACATTTAATCCCCTGTATAGACACCCAAAAGCTGTGAGACTGCTGCTGGGTGCCGCCATTTTGAATGTGATGTCAGCAGCCCCGGCATGGTCAGAGCTCTCACTTAATTAACGCTCTATGGCAAGAGTAGCCAAACTTTGGCCCTCCAGCTGTGATGACATTACAAATCTCATAAGGCAGTGCAAGACTGACAACCATAGGCATTACTTCAAGAGACAGATGCATGCTGCGATTTGTAGTTTTACCACAGCTGGAATGCTGAAGTTGGCTCTCTCTGCTCTAAAGTTTTCCTCTTCACTCCTCTACAGACTCATCCATAAAAGTTTGTCGGGAGGGGTGGTGGAGCTGGGCCAGCATAGACAGTAATTAGACACCCCCAGAAGAGAAGATGGCTATGGCATGAAATTGAGGGGGAGGGGGAGGGGATGGGGGCTGTGCTGGGGAATTGACTCTTCTGAGAAAATCACATTTTCTAGCAAGTCCAAAGGCGCATTGCAAGTGGGAAAAAATAAATTCTGGGAAGGCCAAACACTGCATTTAAAATAATTGATTTTTCTGAGCCTTCACCAGTCATTTTTCAAGTTAATAACAGTCTCTTCAAGGATTTTGTTTTGTAAGCAGTGACGTAAGTTTACCTTTATGGATGACACTGCTAATTCTGTACCACCCCACCTCCTTGACAGTCCGCTTCTTAATGGTGGCACTTTACCACCCCTCTAAAGAGAGAGACTAATGGAGGCTGTCTTTGCTGGGCCTCTCCTTTTGAGAATGCTAGTTGGCTGCCTTGGATAGAGGATTGGTTTTCGATGACGTACTGGACAGTTAAATCCTTGCTGGTTTCATGATTTGCTGCCTGTATCCCATTGGGAAGATTTCCCTCAGAGATGCGGTCTTCTACAAAGTGAAGGGGAACTCTGCTCTTAGAGAGTTGTCATAGTCTTCCCCACATTCCTTGATAGTGGTTATCAGGATAAATCAAGGCTAGACAAATCCCAGGAGCCAGGTAGCTAATATTCCTGGGATTTGTCCCGCCCTGATAATGGAGCCTACATTTTGAGGGTTTTCTCTAGTTGTCAACTAAAGAAAAAAAAATCCTGTTGGGTCCTGGACTGGACAGACTGGCTCCTAAATTCCATATAAATTTGTCAACCCTAGGGATACTTAGAGGGTATCAGTCAACCCAGTATGTGTATATATAATGTAGAAAACATATCAGCACACAATCCAGAGGTGCTCCACACAGTAGCAGAAGTATAGCAACCGTTCGCTAGGTAATCAGAGGTCTTCAAACCGTGGTAAATGCTTAAAGTGACACTAAACTCAGGGGTTAAATCTTAAAAATGCGTTCAGGTACCCTAAGTATTAACAAAAATGTATCTTATTTGTGTATCACTCAGATATGTACATCCTCAAATCATCTCTGAATTGGTGGTGACACTGTCCTTCCTTGGGGGGTGGGGGGCTACTTTTGTTCCTCATGGTCCTTGTGTATGTTGTAAAGTAGCCACCACTCCATTCTCACTCCCATGATGGACTACAATCTTACCTTTTTAATTTACTAATTTGTACTGGGATTGTAGTCCATCACAGAAGTGAGCTTGGAGCGGTGGCTACTCTACAACACACAGGGACCATGGGGAACAAATGTAGCCACCCTCCAGAAGAAAGGGACAGTGTCAGCACCAATTCAGAGATGATTTGAGGATATACAGCTGAGCACAAATAAAGGTCCAGTATTGTTGATAGTTAAGGTACTTGTATGCATTCTTAAGATTTAACTCCAGAGTGTAGGTTTGGTAATACTTGGGTTTCAGCAGGTTGCGGCCCGCCTATCTCAGAGCCTTGAGAAACCCAGTTGAAATGTAGGTAAAATAAATCTACACTTTAAGCGTTTACTTCTGTTTGGAAGACCTCTGAGTGACTGGCCTTTTGCTCTCTCTCTCGATACTGTAGATGGATATAATGTCCACACACACTTTAATGCTTGCACAGACATTTGTTTGGACGAGAACTGCTTTTCTCCCCATTTAAATCAATTGGAATGGGGTGTGTGGTTTTGTCATGGCGGCGTGAAGATGCACTTCTTGGGAGTTCTGCACTGAAAGATTGATGTTCTAGCTGACTTTATTCTGAATTTTTACATGACTTAAGAACGGAAAACACACGGTACTCACGGGGATCCTCGCCTCGCCATGATCTAAGGCTTCTTCACTCGTGAGGCCTCCGATCCTGTTCCTTCTTCTGCTCCTTTGATGGCGCCCATGTGAGCCCCATGCCTAATAAAAGACAGGGCCGTAACCACCGGGCCGGTGGTTACGGCCCTGTCTCAACCGTCTGATCACCCGGCCTCTCCAATCCTGACGCCAAATCTGCAGAGTGTGCACTCCCCACCTAGCCCTCCATCTTCCCGACAGTGGCATGCACGACCTTCTCCCGCGTTTGTCTACCAAACGTGATTTGGAAAATATGGCTTCCTCCATAGTTGAGGCTCTCAAAAAAGAGTTGCAGGATCTCACTCACCGCCTCTCAGCTGTGAATGAACACATTACTGTTGTGGAGACCGCCACGTCCTCCCTGTCAGGCAGAGTGGAGGCCTTGGAGTCGGACTAGGATGCATCTTCTCTCCATGCACTTACGCATTGATGACTCAGAGGAATCGAAGAAACAATTGAGGCTATGAGGCATACTAGTGGATACATCGGGAGTCCATCTACGGTACACTGTTTCTGCTATTCTCAACCAACTCCTGGGGAAGCCTTATGACGCGGAATTGGAACTGGATAGAGTGCATCGGGTCCAAGGTGCCCGCCCGTTCTCTTCCTCAGCCCCCAGAGATGTCCTTTGCCGGGTGCACTTTTTCAGCATTAAGGAGCAGATGGCCACAGAAGACTGGCGTCAGGGTCCTGTGGAGTTTGACGGTGCCAGCATCCATGTTTTGCCCGATCTCTCCCACCATACCCTCCACATGAGGCGCTTGGTTTGTCCCCTGTTGGACCTTATCTGCACTACTACTGCCACTTATTGCTGGGGCCATCCATTCCACTTGATTGTGAGACGCGACGATTCCACATTCCAACGCCACATGCCGGATCAGCTGCCTGCCTTTTTTCATTTTCTGGATACTCCGTCTGTAGACGTTCCCAACTGGCTAGAATTCCCGGATGACCTCTCTGAGGCGGTACCTCTTCCATGTGAAGCACCTCGCAGGCCCCGGAACCGTCTGCACTCTTCCCATCGTGAGCCCCCTGCTCCTATCCCTATAGGCCGGGAACTGTAAACGGGCTCCCTGCATCCGCGGCTGTTTAGCTACATCCCACCGCTCACGCTGTCCTTGGAGAGACAAAGGCCCCTTACCTTAAACGCTGTTTTTGATACTAACCATTTACTTTTACAGGTCATTTTCCCACTCTATCCTGCCCGAGGATGAGGGATCCCCAACGTTGTGTTCTGTTTGCTGCTTGTTATGTCACACTGTATTATTTGATCTGCTATGTTGGATAGGATTGGCTGGGGGCTTGCCTCCTGTGAACCTGCTATGCATTGCTTGGGGGTCATGGTGTTGGGTGATCGGGCCAGTGCCAGGCCTTTCTTCCCTTCAGTCCGTGGTGGGACGCTATTTGGGGGAGGGGGCCCTGGCGCCTTCTGCTCCTGGCGATGTGACGGGCTGGGGCCGTGCATGCTACTTTCCTGGATCCCGAGTTCTCTATTCTGTCCTTTGGGACGTTTGTTCGTTTAGCTACCTGACTGCCCTCTCATTCTCCGGCTGCTGGTACCTGGACCTTTCTGCCCCCCTCCTGGGATTGCCATGTTATAGAGAGCCTATAGAGAGTCTTTTTCTTTCTGGCCCGGTTCTCTTTCCCCTTGGACCCGAGTCCTGGTCTATTCGAGGGAATTCACAGGCCGGGAAATAGGAGAGCAGTGCAATTCTGACCTCCACTGTCATGTATACCTATTAGTCTGGGTCAGATTTCAAGAATATTATGGACATTTCTTGCAGTCGCTCTACACGAGTGACTGCATCTCCCCACAGTTCTTTTTAGATTTCACGTTTACACCCACCACTTAGGTTGGATCCTTATTTCCTAGGATTTGAAGGTGTGTTTTTGCATTTGCACTGGCTCTGTGCCTAGTTGTAGTTGTTCTTCTCGTGTCCTCCACCCACCCGTGCGCCTTTCTTCTACCTCCTTCTCTCCCTCTCTCTTCCTTTTTTTTCCCCTTCTCCTTTTCTTCTCTTCTTCCCTCTCTGACCCTCCCTGCTTGGTCCCCTTTCTTCTCCTCCTTCCCTGCTCCTCTTTCTTGTTTTCTCCCTCCCTCTCTTCCTTCTTCCCTCTCCCGTGGGCTCAACCTTCCTCGACACCAGCCTTATAAGTCGTCTGAACTTTACTACGTTCATTGTTAAGGCGCTGAATGGCGGTCCAGACTCCTGGTGGATCTGACGAAAGTGGGCACCCATGTTGCCTTCCTTCAGGAAACCCATTTTACAGTGGATAAGGTGCCTAGATTGCATAACAGGGACTTCCCGATCTCATTGTCCCTCTCCCTTTGCCAAGTCTAAGGGCGTAAGTATTTTGCTCTCCAAATCCGTAACTTGGACCTTTTGTGACCTCAGATGTGACCCGGAGGTTCGGTACATATTTGTTAAGGGCTCTGTAGGAGGCGCGGTAGTTACATTGGTCAATGTTTGCCCCTTGTGTTGGCTAAATTTCGGGAACTGGTGTTGACCCGGACGGAACCTAATGGGCTTTTACTCTCCAACCTCCGACAGCTCCTTATGAATGGCTGTCGTTCCCTTTTATGAGCTCTCAAATAAACCGGGAAGGCTGTACGTCTATGCATGACTGACGAAGTCACGTATCGATGTAAAGTACGTAGGGCTGAGCATTGGACAAAGTCTTGCATGGATGTAACGTACGTAAGGCTGAGCATTCAACGTCACTCTTCTCAGCTGAGCCGGACGGACGGGAGTCCCATTGCACCCATAGAATTGTACTGTGGGTCCATTGGATATTTGTTTTGTGCCTTTTGTCACCTGTGACATTGTAAGTACCTGCTTTTATTGAATACATTTTATTTTTTGGACGATACGCACTATGTCCTCCTTTTTATATTTTCTCTCCCTTTTTGAAATGATGATGTTATTTACGAGCTGAGAAGGTTATCTGGTCTTCATTCATACGGGATTCCCTCCCCTATTAAGAAGGGAAATACGCTTTGAGACCTAGTTCTTTGGGTCTACCTCCCCAGGTGAGCACCGTTCCAATTTGTGCATTCACTGGGTGGAGGTGAAGGTCTGTCAGGATTCTGTGGCAACTGCTTACTTGGAAGTTTGAATCTATCTAGTGGTGGACTATCTCCTGCATTTGTTTGCATGATTATAATTGTTGCACATTGGACTTTGTTTTTATCACTTTGTCCTCCATCTTTTCATGTTTTGATGTGCTTTTTTGAATATATTTTTTAAAGCATATACTTGTATATCTTATCGTTTATATCACATATTTCACTGAATTTTATATATTTATTCAGCTCGGCACATGATTGTTATACATGTTTTAGATATATTTTTATTTATCTTGAGTGCCAAGTAATGCTTTATTTGCATTTATTTACTGGCGCTCATCACATATTGTTTTTATATTTATTCTTTGATGTCCGAGAGTGATGATGGACGTTACCATGTTGTATTTTACATTTCTACAATAAAGCTGGTTTTGAAATGAAGAAAAAAAAAAATCAATTGGAATACAGAAGCGGCTAAGGAGGTCTGAAGCATCTCGGGTACAAGCTGAGTTCACCTGTAAACGAACTGCTTTGGTCTACATACTAAAGCTATTATAATGACCATGTTACATGCTGTAGTCCTACGACTTTAAATAAGACATACATGGGTCATACTGTTTATCAGCTGATGTGGGGAACAGTCGAGAACCTCTTATAATACTCTGTGTCTAAATAAACAACGATCAGTAATTTTGTTTTGTTCAATGTCTTCTACAGGCAAGCCAGCAGAAAATGATTTAAAACTGGGTGTCCTAAAGCTCAAGCCAAATACCAAGATTATGATGATGGGAACACGTGAGGAGAGTTTGGTAATACAAGCTACATTTTCTTTACATGTCGGGAAACATCACACAAACACACACTGAGGGAGAGAGATAAAACAATTGGTAATTTTCTTGGTGGAACACTTTTGCTCCACCAAGGGTAGGTGATGCATTGCACCAAATATTCACTGTTTTTCAGCATTTTATTTGAATGTATTTACTGACCTTTTCTGGTATAGTTTAAATGTAATCTTTTGGTACATTTCTGCAGGAAGAAGTGATGGCACCACCTCCAGAAAATGACGATGTTATAAATGACTTTGACATTGAAGAGGAGGTAGTGGAGGTGGAAAATCGGTGAGTCTTGTTGTTTGCATATGACAGCTAAATCCTAACTGCTGGTGGTATTATATTGCTGTACAGTTGTAGGTTATACTGTACCATTGTTGGCAGCATTTTTATCTTTTTCCTAATGAAATGGAGGGATTTTCCACAAAATATATGTATTTGTTGAAATGTATAATATGATAGCTATGCAAAAATGAGAATTAAAACAACTTCTCACTGAGGCAGTGCAAAGGGCAGCAACAATACCAACCAAACCGACTTCAGATTTCTATATTCAGCCTATGAAATATCTCTTCAGATTGATTTTTATGATATATTGAATTTTGTGCATCATCATATCTCTTGTACTGCCTTATTGGTTAAACACCAAATTGTAAGGCTGCGGATTGCCAAGAGGCAGAGCTAGCCATACGTGTGGCTGATTCTGCAGAGTTTTGTACAAGCTGTCATTTCTTTTGCTCCAGAAAGAAAGATGCTTGTCTCAACGAAAGTAGGGATGCACCGATCCCTGTTTTTCGGTATCGAGTACAAGTACTGATATTTTTTTTTTTCGTTACTTGCCTATACTGCATCCCGAAGTACCATGGGCCTGGCTTCCTGATTGGTCAGGAAGCCAGGCCTGCCTCGCAGTGTTGCTAGGCTGCGTGAAGACAACTTCCTAGCCAATCAGGAAGCTGGGAGGCGGGTCATGACGTGCCACCCGGCTTCCTGATTGGTCAGGAAGCCAGGCTGCCTAGCGACAAGTGAAGCCGGCTTCCTAGCTAATCAGGAAGGCTTCCTGATTGGCCGGGAAGCCGGCTCCATGCTTCCTTGTGGCACTGACCAGAGGTTCCGATATCGGAGCATCTGGGCGAGTACGGGTGCCAGTATCGGTGCATCCCTAATCTAAAGATTTATTTCTCTCAGCACATCCCGCTGAGACTCCTACTGCTAACCTGTTTCACTCCAAAGAGCTTAATCGTACGATGGAATCTCAAGAGATTTCTTTCTTTCTTGGTATGGAACATGGAACTAAAGTCATTTTTGGCTCCTTTTATCTCTTGTGCTTCACTATTGGTAGAGAGGTTGTCCATCATGGTAAGAGACCAATACTGAGGCAAGGGTGGGACCAATCACATTTTTAGGAATGTTGAAGTGCCTGCTTTATACATATTTTGAAGCTTCAAAATGAACACAGGTTTCTTTTTGTAAGTACCGTAGCTCAAAACCAACCCAAACTCTCATCTTTAATTTGGATGGGTGCTGTTGGGTTTGTAATGTCTCTCTTCCCACAATGCCAGCTCCGCCTGACCATTGTAGCCCTGTAGAATGACCCTGCTCTCTGCCCACAGTTTGACAGTTGGTGGGACTCAAAGTCCTACCATGAACTCCTTCACTGAAAACCATTGCTAACTGTAATTCATTGCAGAGAAGAAAATCTGGCTAAGATTTCACGCCGTGTCAAAGAATACAAAGTGGAAGTCCTAAATCCTCCGAGAGAGGGGAAGAAGCTGCTTGTTTTAGATGTCGACTACACTCTGTTTGGTTAGTATGTCCCTTCCTTATTTTACCATTCATTCCCGTTAGATATGGATTGCAGCTCTTCCTTCTGAGTGCCTCCTCGGTCTCTGAACTGTTTATACACATGGCAACTTTCTGAAAGTTAGAGAATGGGCAAACCATGCACCCCACACCACCACCCCACACCACCAATCTACTGCTCAGGTCTCAGCAACCCACCATAAGGTCTGAATATTATTATTTGTGATGGCATTGCTCTGTGTCATTCTTGTTTACTTTTAACTTCTTTCTCTGCCGTCTCTTAATTATCTTTCTTGGGCTCTTTTAGATCATCGGTCCTGTGCGGAAACTGGCCTGGAGCTAATGAGACCATATCTGCATGAGTTTCTTACATCTGCCTATGAAGATTATGATATTGTAATATGGTGTAAGTCATTCTGGGCTGTTGTATGTCCCTAACGTGCTTTTTGTTTCCTTTTACTTACTGTTTCCATTTCCCTTCTTTTTTTCTTGAGACTTTTTGTAGAAAAAAATAATTTGAATTGTAAACCAGACAGTCAAATGACATTTTAAGAACCCATTACCTGATGATCCTCCTAGTGCCATTTGTTATTTTTCGATGACTGCACTGTTTCTGCAGTAAAATCACACAGCTGTGTTGTCATCCTGTGGACAGGGTAGTCTTAGATGCACATGTAGTTTTAAATGGACTTTAATTTCCTGGTTTGAATCTCGGCCAGGACACTACTGCATGGAGTTTGCATGTTCTCCCTGTGCTTGCGTGGGTTTCCTCTGGGAGCTCTAGTTTCCTACCACACTCCAAAGACATACTGAAAGGTTAATTGGTTCCTTTCTTAACTGGCCCTGTGTGTATGCATGTGAGATGGGGACCTTGGATTGTAAGCTTCTTGAGGGCAGGGTATGGTTTGTAAAGCGCTGGGTAAATTGTTGGTGCTATATGAATACCTGTAATAAATAAATAAATAAAATACAAATTTAAGCCTAATTCCAGCTAATACTTTTTAAACAGTTACAGTAATGTTTTTGTTTTTTTTTAAGTTTGAAAAAAAAGTACATTCTGTATCTCAATGGAACATTTCTTCTGAGATATGTTGCGCTGTGCGCAGCAAAACAGCCAAGCACTTGCCTATACTTTGTATTCACGGGCTCTTTGAACCCTTTCAGCAGCTGGTAGTGGACCTGCTCATTGTGCACTGAGGCCCATGCTAGCTAGATTAGGGCGATCTCTTTAATGACTGTCTGTACAAACCCTTAACTTTCATGTTTTTGTTTTCTTTCCTCTAGCTGCAACAAGCATGAAATGGATTGAAGCCAAAATGAAGGTAAGAGGAACTATAACTATAAGGTTTATAACAATTTCCAGTTGTTTTTTCTTTTTTGTGTTTTTTTGTTTCTTTTTCTCAGTTATACTGTATGTAGTTACCATTCCAAAAACCACTTTAGAGGGCCACTGCACACATTTTAGTTACCGTATATACTCGAGTATAAGCCGTCCCGAATATAAGCCGAGGTACCTAATATTTAGTGTGGGGGACTTAGCACCTGTATTCTTATCTCCCTAACATAATAATGCTTTTCCCATCCACCTGGGAGTTTTTGGGTGTTCCCATTCATTGTTGTGGGTCTATAAATTAAATGAGAAAGCTTTAACAGGGAAAGTGGGAACCACTTATAATTGCCACAGCGGGTGTGTAGACTCAGGAACTCAAGCAAAGCAATCTCTCCAGTAAAGTTCCCAATAGATATTAACTCTCTAACAGTTGCCAAAAATGTCAGTTTTGGGTGGACTGGTCCTTTATGGATTATACACTTTGCTGTGCCCCTATGGCCCCACCTACTACATTTTCCTGTTTCTCATGGTTAATCTTTACCCATGTGTGTATTTTAATGAAATGTGACATCATATCTATGTATCTGATGTTATTCCGTTTTTGAATCACAAAATACTTCTCTGCGTGCTTGTTACAATGTTGTTCTTTTCCTCTAGGAATTGGGCGTCAGCACAAATGCCAATTATAAGATCACTTTTATGTTGGATAGTGCAGCCATGATTACTGTCCACACACCCAGAAGAGGTCTCATTGATGTAAGTCCTTTCTTTGCTGTGGGATTAGCCACTTATACTTTGTTTTGTGTCACACTTCTCTATGGAGCCTTTAATCCAAGAAATAAAACAGACATCAGTGCAATTACAGACGTAATGAATTTCAGTCTTATTATTAATTTGCTGCAGGTATAAAGTGCAGGCACCTCCAGTAGCCTCTGAGACCTTGCTTTTATGTCATTCTGACAGTTCTTAATAGTGCTAAAGCTTGCCCACCCCCTTGGGTTTCCTGCATCATATTCCATTGGTCCAGTGAGGCAGCCCATCATAGTGATGGATCATTAGTAGTGTGTGTGTTGGGGGCAGGTTGTAGCAGATGGTACTGCCAGGCAGGGTAGAACAACTGATTTCACTTTAATGCCGACCCCCACAGCTGCTTATACATTCCTTTCATTCACTTGAGCAATCAAAGAGAAGAACCCCCATGTCAATTCCCTGTTGTGACATGGAGCTTACACAAGGCCGTGAGAACTTTTTTCTTTTCCCCATGTGACAGTAATGGGTGACAAAGCAGGCAGTCACCAAGCACCAGCACTGTCATGTGGTTGGATGCAGTAGATATTCCTACTCATGCCTAGGAGTGAAGAGAAGGCGATTATAAGCAATTGCGCTGGCCAGAGTTACAGTAAGCCTGTTGCTTTGTCCTGCATGTGCAAAGTACATGTTCACTTTAAAGCTACCACCAGCACTGTCAGTAAGATCTTTATTCGGAGGTTTTTAGAATGCTTACTGAAGCTGATGATTTTTTAGACTGGAGTTTACAAGATTAACAAATTGCCTGTGTGATCGGCACCTGAAGCTGGTCATACCCTGCTGCAATTTTAAGTCAGCAGGTTCGAGCACTGTGTGGCCCCCCTCAGGGCCGCCTTATGTGAAAGAAGTCGATTTTTTTTTTAAATTCTTGGCTGAACAGTGACTGCAGTTGTCACTGTTCAGTTATTCTAATAGCGGCACGCCTGCCGCAGTCAGAATACAATACCACAATGGGGACAGCCTGATGCTGTTTATCCTGAACGGGGGAATCAAGTGTATTTTCTCATTTAGCTCTTGGGGCTGAATGAGGATAAATAGCCAGTGTATGGCCAGCTTCGAAAGTATTCAGCTTGGTATCAGTTCGGCTTTGCTGTCATGTATTACAATTGCTTGTTTATTGATGGGCAGTAACAATCATTTCTGCTATTTTTAGATGTCATTTTGGCCATTTTAGGTTCAAATTGCCTCACCGGCCTTCATCATTGTGCAGCCTGTGGTCTCATTTGTCTGTCAACTCAGCTACAGTAGGGAAGAGTGGTGCCCTCATGTCAAAGGCTTCTGGGGATTGTTTTAAGAAATGACTTTGAAGCAACAAGCAGAACCAAAGTCTTGTATATAACACTTTTTCCTTTTTTAATAGGTAAAGCCTCTTGGAGTAATTTGGGGAAAATATTCAGAATTTTACAGTAAAAAAAATACCATAATGTTCGATGATATAGGAAGAAATTTCTTGATGAATCCCCAGAATGGCTTAAAGGTAAGTGGCATTGTTCTGGTCATTCATTCTTAGCTCTTTGGAATGGTTCAGTCTCTCGCTGCTTATCCCTATAAAGATAGTTAAGCACCTGCATTATGCTTATGTACTTTGCAGTATTGTTTAAGAAACTCTGCCTACAATTTCTTGTGTGACACAGTACTCCAGTGATGGAGTGTATTATAGGACGGTCACATTAAAGGTCTGTCCTAAACCTGTGTTGTTCAATTCTGTTTGACAGTAACGATGGAAACTCTCTTAGGTTGCTCTGTCAAAGATTTTGCAAGAGAGCCCCAACTACCTCACCATACAGTGTAACTCTAAACACTCTAATATCTCATAATCTCAGAATACAAGGCATTCTCTGGTTGGAGGAGGGGGCGGGGTTGTGACATCTTCAAAACTAAAATAGAGAAGTTTTGGCTGGAGTTGGGCTTTTATACATGTAGAACAGAGGCAGCAAAAAGTGCTAAATTCTTCAATGTAAAGCTGACCTGGGGATGTTATTTTTTACTAGTTAATGTGAGACTAAACTCAGGAGTTAAATGTTAAGATACATTTTTAATCCATTTCTACTCGTCTGTAGATCCTCAAATCATCTCTGAATTCATGCTGTGAATTCATGCTGATACTGTATTTCCTTCTGGAGGGGGCCTACTTTTGTTCCCCATGGTCCCTGTGTATGTTGTAAAGTAGCCACCGCTCCAAGCTCACTACTGTGATGGACTACAATCTCAGTACAAATTAGTAAACCAAACGTGAGATTGTAGTCCATCACAGGAGGGAGCTTGGATCGGTGACTACTTTACAACACACACAGGGACCATGGGGAACAAAAGTAGCCACCCTCCAGAAGGAAGTACAGTATCAGCATGAATTCAGAGATGATTTGAGGATCTACAGCCGAGTGATACACAAATAAGATACATTTTTGTTAATAGTTAAGGTATTTGAATGTATTTTTAAGATTCAACTCACTTTAATATTGTACATAACTTCTTTTTTTTTTTTCTCTTTTCGGTAACAGATCAGACCTTTCATGAAGGCTCATTTAAATCGGGATAAAGATAAAGAGCTTTTGAAACTATCTCAATACCTTCAAGAAATTGCTAAACTAGACGACTTATCAGATCTTAATCATAAACATTGGGAAAGGTTAGTATTCAGTTTTATGGATTTAATGTTATTTCTGATTCATTATCGACTATAACTGTAAAATGTAAAAGAGAATGTTAAATATACACACAGCTCTTCATGCTAACCCATATAGCACTAGAAGATGGCCAATATCCGGCGGCTATGAAAGTGGCATTAAAGCAGAACTTTGAGTAAAATATTCCTTAACTCTTGCAGTGGGGCTATCCCTGCACTGCAAGGGTTAATTGCTCATTTTTGTCTAGGGTCAAAAATAAAATAGTTATACTCATCCGATGCTCTTAGACCGGACACTGAAGCCCCTCTGCTGCAGATATCTAAGGTCCCTGAGTCATCATGTCCTATAGACTGTCCCTCTGCATCCTCATGTCCCATATACATAGGACGTGAGGATGCCAAGGGACATACTCTTGCTGCAGTGGAGGAGGAGACCGACTGGAGCGAGCACTGTCACAGCCGGCCAGCTTGGATCAGATGAGTATAATTTTTGTTTTGACCCTAGGCAAAAACGAGCATTTAACCCTTGCAGTGCGGGGGTAGCCCCACTGCAAGGGTTACTAAACTTTTTACCCAGAGTTGTTCTTTAACCACTTGAAGACCAGGGTATTAGACCCTCTTCCCTTCCAGGCCAATTTCCAGTATTCAGCGCTAAAATACATTTATTCCGTCATGCAACGCTGTACTGAAATTAATTTGATATAATTTTCTAGGGACACATAGAGCTTTCTTTTGGTGGTATTTCATCACCATTGGGGGGTTTTATTTTTTACTATATAAAGACATAAGTACCAAAAATTTTGACGCAAAAAAAACAGTTTTCCCTACATTATGTTAGGAAACATTAATTTTTACCCAATGTTTTTGGTAAAATGTAAAAAAATGGGTTCACGTTCGGTAAATGGACACCAAGCATGTCAAGCCTTAAAATTGCGTGTGCCCGCGAAACTGCAGAAAACTACAATACCCAAAATAGCCACAGGTGACTGTTTACAAGCTTTTACTGCTCATCAATTTAGTGTTAACCGTGATTTCATGATCCCAGAATAATTGCTTGCACTGCAACGTTTGTGGTGATATTTAACATGTACGGCTCAATCGCATTTTTATTTTAACTTTTTTTTTTTTTTTACTTTATTGCGATCACCTAGGGGGTTAACAAACCCCCTATGTGACAGCACATATACAGTGACAGGTCCTCTTTATGGAGACATCAGAGGTCTATTAGACCCCTAATGTCACCAAAGAAGCTGTTGAAGCAGAGATTTGCTTCCTCAGCTACGCTCCGGCTACAGAAGCTGAAGAAATGAAAGCTGAAGGTGGAAGTGATGTAATACACATCACTTCTACATTCAGAGATCGGAGGGGAGATCAGCGGGAGGATGTGTGCTGATCTCCATTCAGAGAGCCAGCGTGCCGGTCCCAGCCCCCCACGGGGGACAGTGGAGCCAGGCGGAGGGGGGAAGCACACTTGCACTCAACATACAAGTGATCGGACGGCTCTATAGCCCCCCTGAACGATTGTAAAGAGCCATCGCCGGCTGTTTTAAATTTTGTCCGTTTCCCGCGTGTGGGGAAGGGACATCTTAATACGCCCACTTGCATTCAAGAGTGTCCCTCATAGGGGTGGATTTTTACAAAATGCAGCAGTCTTCAGAAGATAGGATACATACTATAATACATAACTAATGTATTTGGCGCTGTACCCACCAATTTAATATCTCCGAAAACAGTTATTTTCAAGGCATACCAACTGTTAAGGTTCCCTGCGTGCTTTTCAGCTTTCAACCAGAGCTTCAAGCCCTCAAACGGCTTGTGTCATTGTCATAGCTGATCACATGTGTAGCACCATGACACCTGCAATACAAAAAGAGGCCAAGATGGCGCCTTCCTTGGCTGTAAGAGATGGGATGATTTAGTTCTGGTTTCAGCTGTAAATATTTCAATGGTCATGTATGACATAATATTTAATAGCTTTCTCATTTTTGTCTACAGATACCTCTCAAAGAAACTAGGTCAACAGTGAACTGTTTCATTTAAAGGCTGTGCTGCTTGTACAGTGTATTTTAGCTGTTACATGAAATGGGAGAAGCCAGGATGACGCTTGAATTGTGATGGCCATGTTTTTTTTTTTTTCCTCTATAGCCACTAAACTTTTTTTTTGTTTGTTTTATATAAAAACCTGCCTTGCTTTAATTCACCTACAACACAAATATCCAAGCCATGTGTCACTTCTCTGTTCCATCTTCCCTCCATTCTGATCATTCTATTTTTTTATTTATATTTTTTATATGGAGTTCTTCCAGTTGTCCCATGTTTTTTTCCTATGTTTGTTTAATGTGTTTATATTTTTTATTTGTTTTCTCCTTTTGAGATGCAGGACAATTTAGCATAATGTTTCATTTGTAGGCTGGACAAAGACACATATTGAAAAGATGAAGATACAAAGACTAAATGAAATATAGCTTTGAAAAATATCAATAAAGTTGAAGATATGGTCTAAATACCTGGTTTGCTTGTCAATGTAATGGAATAAAATGGATATTTAAAGGCAAGCCATTATCATTGCATACACAGTTTGTTTTTTCCACTGTCGGCTTCCAGGTCTGCACCTGGCTTGAGTGAGTGAGGCTTCTCCCACCAAAGCAGCAAGCACATCAAAAAGTCTTTAAAAGAGACCTATAGGGTACACCATTTTTGGCATGTTTATTATTATTATACAGGATTTATATAGCGCCAACAGTTTGCACAGCGCTTTACAATATAAGGGAGACATTTCAATTACAATACAATTCAAGACAAGATGGTAAGGAGGGCCCTGCCCGAGGGCTTACAATCTAATAGGAAGGGGGGAATGATACATGAGGAGGTAGCTGTGGGGATGAATTGTTTGAGAATGTGATGTTTCAGTGGTCAGGTTGAGGTGGGATAGGCTTCCTTGAAGAGATGAGTCTTAAGGGATCGCCTAAAGGCAGTCAGAGTAGGAGATAGACAGACAGGTTGGGGTACAGAGTTCCATAGGATGGGAGAGACTTTAGAGAAGTCCTGGAGGCGAGCATGGGAGGGGTTTATGAGGGAGCTGGAAAGTAGAAGGTCATTTGAAGAGCGGACGGTTAGGGTGATACTTTAGGACAAGGTTTGAGATGTACCCAGGGGCAGAGTTGTGGATGGCTTTGTAAGTACCGCAATCGCACTGCACTCACCGAGAACGCAGGGAGGGTTTGAATAAGCGATCCAGTGCGTTCATGTCTTAGAACTCTGTGTGGATGGTGTGAACGACCCCTAATACTGCTACATATACTGTAGCTTGCACTTGTTATCTCATTGTGGGCCTCTTTGTGAGCAGTTCAACGCATAGAAGTGAAGTGTAACATCCGAGGATTTGTAACTCCGCTCCTTTAAGGTGGCCATACACTTTACAACCATCGCAAGACCTTAGTCTTGCGATGGTTGTAAAGTAATTTAAAAAACGTACAATCTGCCCATCTTGGACAGGCAGATCGTACTTGCGATCATCATTCAAATCTTACGATTTTCGGCTGGTTTTCTAGCGTGCTTCTTAGACAAAAGAGGTGCGACCGTACAGTAGAAACGGTCGCACGCCTTCCATACACTGCACGATTCTCATACAATCGCTGGATTTCCCGCGATTCTCGTACGAGAATCGTGCACCTTTAGACTGGTAATTCATACAATTATATGAAAAATCAAAATCTTGGTACTAATTGTATTGAAGGTAACGCTCACTTGTCAATTTAAAGGGGAGCTCTAGGTAAACAGCTGAATGCATAGAAGTGAACTAAAGGACTTGTAACTCTGCTCGGCCAGTCTGGTACTTCAAACACCCCTGCCACATAGTACAGTCAGAACGATGTCTCCATTATTTGCTTAGCTGGCTTTGCCTGAGTCTTATTAGACATAGGCAGTTGTCTGATGAACAAAACGAAGGTAGAGAGATGGTTCTGGAACAGGGGTAGGCAACCTCCTCACTCCAACTGTAGCTGAACTATAATGCTGGCCACAGACCTTACAACCATCGCAAGACTTTTGTCTTGCGATGGTTGTAAGGTAATTAAAAAAACATACAATCTGCCCATCTTGGACAGGCAGATCGTACTTGCGATGATCGCAAGCCCGCCCCGCTGAGGGGCGGGCTTCCGATGACCGCAATGCTGAACAAGCAGTGTGCGCTTGCGTCATTTATCTTACGAACATGCCACACACGCCAACAATCATACAATTCTCGGCGGGTTTTCGAACATGTTCCTAAGATAAAAGTCGTGCGACCGTACAGTAAAAACGGTCGCACGCCTTCCACACACCTTGCGATAATCGTACGATCACGGGATTTCCCGCGATTATCGCAAGGTGTGTGGGCACCTTGAGTGCCTGTTCACACGGCGTCCGTTTTCTGTGCTGACCTGATCCGTACGCCCCTGCACTAAAAATGCATCCCAATGTATCCCTATGTGTTTTATGGGCCACAGTTCTCACGTGCGCAGTCCGTTCAGGTTACGACAGAAAAATACTGCATGTCACATTTTGTACAGTCAGGAAACGATCTGGAAACGCCAAAGGTGTCAAAAACGCACTGCACTGCAGCTAACATACTGACAGCCCCACTCCAGCACAAAACTTGAACGCGGCAAAAACACATAGCACCGCGTCTGCAGATCCGCACTCAGTTCCGGACCTGAAAAGTCTCAAAATGCATAGCAAGACTCAAGGTGGCCATACACTTTACAACCATCGCAAGACTTCAGTCTTGCGATGGTTGTAAGGTGATTAAAAAAACGTACGATCTGCCCATCTTGGACAGGCAGATTGTACTCTCGATCATCGCAAGCCCGCCCCCCTGAGGGGCGGGCTTCCGATGACCGCGATGCTGAACGGGCAGTGTGCGCGTGCGCATGGCGGCCCTTTCGGCATTTGTCTCCCGAGCACCGTTCAAACCAGCCGAAAATCATACGATTTTCGGCTGGTTTTCTAGCGTGCTCCTTAGACAAAAGACGTGCGACCGTACAGTAGAAACGGTCGCACGTCTTCGTTCACACTGCTCGATTCTCGTACGATCGCGGGATTTCCCGCGTTCTCGTAAGAGAATCGAGCAGTGTATGGGCACCTTGACAGCCATAGACATGACTCCCAGAGGCAGAGGCATGGTTGGATGTGTAGTTGCAGCACAGCTAGAGTGCTGAAATTGCCTACCCCTGATGTTAAATCAGAAAATGGGTGATTCACCTGCCGGAATGTTTAGCTACTTGTGGCAGGTAAAGCAATGAACATATTTGAACATCACCTGTGGAGTTAGCTGTTGGGTGAAGTGATTTTGGAATATCAGTGAGGGAAACAGGAAATAAGCTTAAAACTGATGAGCCGTAAAAGCTTTTAAAGCATCGGCGATGGGAATTTTTGGCTAATGCAGGTTTTTGCCATTTCATGCACACACAAAATTTTAAGGCTTGACATGTTTGGCGTCTATTTACCCGACACAACCCCATCTTTTCAATTTTACCAAATGGGGTATTATATTCTGCTTCTGTGCAAATATTGAAAATATTGGGTTAATAACATTTGCGCAAATATCGTGCCACATAAAACATTGCAACTAGCGTTTTTTTATGCTACAGGGCCTCTGCCTTCAGAAAATATATAATTGTTTGGAGGGTTTCAAGCTGTTTTCTAGCCAAAAATTCAGATTTTATCCTTTGTGTGCAAATAGTAAGAAATTGCTCTGGACAGCAGTTGGTTAAAGCCTGATCACGTGCACTGCATTTAGACAGACCCTTTGTTTTGCGTGGACTATTAGCGCATGTTCACATGCACTGCATTTAGACAGATCCATTGTTTTGCGTGGACTGTTAACGCATGTTCACGCGTGCTGCATTTAGACAGCCCCTTTGTTGTGCATGAACTGTTACTGCACAATATCGCAAGGAAAACCACACCCGACTCTGTTTTTGGGAACACAACGCACAGCAATGCACTACCAGGTGCATTGCCTTAGTGGGTTAGGGTGCCAATGAATGTAACCTCAGCGCGCTGATGCATGTAACGTGCATCATGACAACTGAATGACATGGCTTGAAAATAAAGATGTCCTTTAACCTAGAGAAGTGAAGCGCCTGCATAATGAATGATACATGTGCTTTGTAGGATTTGTTTATTAACATAAAACAATAAAAACCCTCAGCTCTGCTTACCTCCAATATATGAATTAAACATAATAGCAATAATATCATGTAAGAAATAACACAGCAGCACATTAAGCCTCATTTGAGAAAGCCAAAACAGGCAATGTATCCTTGTCCAAATAAAGGGTTAATATTACAAAGTGCTAGAGTAGTAGTCACACGGTTCATATGAGATACTCATTTTAGACTTAAAATAGTTATAGCTTATAAAACATTAACATGCCAAATGGATAAATAAATATATTACATTTGCACTTTCTTTAAAGAGAATCTGCAGCGAAGCAAAATACCTGTGTGAAAAGCCTCAAATCGAAGCTGTGTTTTTGTGACTCCTGAACTGCATACTAGTTCTGAGGCAAAGGATTCAGCCTAAAGCTGGCCATACACCTATAGATTATCTGCAGATTTCCTATGGTCAGATGGAAAAAGTGCAACAGATTCCTCCATCTACGCTAAACTGTGTGGATGGAGGAATCTCCCACTGGGCCAAGCTTCAGTATCTTGCTAGTCGGCCCAGCTGGCTCTCAAAACACCAGAACAATGTCTGCATCTAATCAGATTGTTCAGGTATTTTGACAGCCAGCGGGGCCAACTAGCAAGATACTGAAGCTTGGCCCAGTGGGAGGTTCCTCCATACACACAGTTTATCGTAGATGGTGGAATCTATTGCACTTTTTCCATCTGACCATAGGAAATCTGCAGATAGTCTATAGGTGTTTGGCCAGCCTAAGTGACACCAATATGATGTGCAGTGTGGATATATCAAAGGAGAGCAGCTTCACCTGAAGCTTCCCATACAGGTATTTTGCTGTGTGGCAGGTTCCCTTTAACGTCCAGTTCAGTCCTAGCAGCAAAAATCAATCATTCACAGGGTCAGGGCTGTCATTACTGTAATTAAAGATCTGTGCCTAGGGTGGCAGGTTAGAGGCTGTAGGTACAAGCTGCTAGATATAAAACTGTGATTATTTGATTATTCCCCCCTCCCCCTCTATAAAGTCAGCACAAGAACTGTGAGAGAAGTCAGCAGACTCTTTACAGTTCGGGAAACATTAAAGGCATAATCCACCTTTTAGAAGAAAAAAAATGCACCTACATTGCTAACAGAAAAATGTGCATTTAATAGTTCTTAGCAGAGCATTGCAGCCATGATCAGTGGATATCGGGTGCAATGCACAGGCTCCTGCAGACTCTTCTCCTATGGTGGTATGGAGTTGGACCTACTGTTATGGGTTAAAAGAAGTAACCTATGGGCTACAAGCGAAGTGACATCACTGCACATGTGCTCCATTGAAATGTACAAGTCACTCTGCCACGATGGCATATGGGACTTGTAGTCTTCTATTCACAGAGCCCAATTCAATTGGGCTTTATTCTTTCATTGCTTAAAAGAGAACTCTGGTTAAACATTTTAGTAACCCTTGCAGGGGCTACCCCGCACTCGAACGGGTTAAGTGCTAGTTTTTGCCTGGGGTAAAAAAAAAGTTATCACCCGATTCTCCAAGCTGGCCAGCTATTAGACCTGAATCCTCTCTCTCTCTCCCTCCGCTGCAGCTGTCTAAGGTCCCTGAGTCATCATAATCTATGCACAGTGTATAGAAGGTAAGGATGCCGAGGGACATACCATCGCTGCAGCGGAGCAGAAGACAGGCTGGAGGGAGCACTGTCACAGCGGGCCAACTCAGAGGCCAAGGCAGAAATGAGCACTTAACCCTGGCAGTGCGGGCGTAGCCCCACTGCGAGGGTTAATCATTGAATTTGATATTTATAGAACAAGAAAAGAGTGGATATGAGTGGATACATTTTGTAACCCGAGTTGTACTTAAATACATCATATACCTTTGTGATGTGACTACAGCAGAGGGAAAGACTCCAATTATTAGAAAGAAAGGGTTAAAGGCTAAACAGAATTGCTAATTTGTTTTCTAGAAACCACAATGGCTTTCTTTCCAGTTACAAACCCATAAAAGTGACGGAACATTATTTATTCTTCCAAACTGTACCTAAAAATAACAAAAATAGACAAATGGGAAAAATACTTTTTCATCTTTGTCTGTATTGGAGTGGTCCTTTAACCCTTATTCTTTTCTAAAGCATACCTGCTATTCATTAACAGCAACATATAAACAACCATCAGTGCCAGTGCCCTTCAGGTCATTCCATACATTACACTGACTTCCACTGATAGTGTCTCTTTTTCTTTTTTTACATGTCTGTATGAAGTATACATGTTTATTACAGACACTGATAACATACAATGATCATAGATAATAATAAAAGACTATGACAATGATTATAGATAATAATAAAAGACTATGACAATGATAATACATATTGATAAAAGACTATGACAGTGATAACAAACAATGATACTAGTCAATGATTAAAGACTGGCAGTGATAATATTCCATCGGCTAGTACACTGGAGTTTCCCAGCATAAAATTGCAATTTACTGGTTAACTTCCTATGATCACTTGCATGTCTGTCCACAACAGCATCTAATTCAGCTTACAGAATGTATGACACCATTAAAGTGACTTGCTAATAAAAAAAAGTACCTGTGATGGAGAGAGTAAATTTCCGGGTGAAGTTAAGAGGATGGGGGGTGCTCGCAGTGACTGCAAATCTCAGCAAAAGGCAGAAATATCACCAGCACACCAGAATCATTTTAGAATAGCAGAATGTTCATTTATTCGAAGTTCCTTGTCATATAAACAAGCGCTTTCGGGGCCGCGCAGGGTCCCTTCATCATGCTTGGCATTCTGCTATCCTAAAAGGATTCTGGTGACATTTCTACCTTTTTCATGTCAACACAGGACACAGTAGTAGCACAGGAGAAACCACTGAGAACAACGGGGGAGACGCAGGAAATCAAATCTCCTGGAATCTAGAGTTCTGAAAGTTCACCTGGCGATTTCTCTGTAATACATCGACATTTGGTTGTTTTTTGTTAGCAAGACACTTCAATGCGCTGATTTGGCTGGGCATATTAGTATAGTTTTTTCAGAAAATCCAGTTTAAGAGGTAAGAGGGGATTAAAAAAAAAACCTCAGGAGGGGATTGAAGTAAACTTTTCTCTCATTAAAGGCAATTGGGACTGTAACTACATACAACATTAAGCTTTTTTTAATGTGGCCCGCCCTACATTTTTTCAGTGTGTCAGGACAGGTACACTTTAAAAAACAGATTGTGGAATGTTGTGTTAGTCTCGGAGCCTGTATTCTCTGGATATAATACACAGCAAGTTAAACATTTCCTGGAGAAAGTAGCACGTTAGTTATTTTGATATTACACAAGTGATCACAAGTTATTTGTGGCAACCCATGACTGCTGGGCCTCCCCGTTCCCTTCCCGTAGCAGCAGTCCTGGGAACAGCTATAATGGCACGCGGCGAAGCGTTGGAGGTGGCTGGAATGCAATAATAAACATTGTGTTGCAATGTTTTTTTCCTTCGCTGCTGAACATACAGACCAAACGTAACAGATTTCCGGTCTATGTTGTGTTGAAGAGAGCGGAAGGATGGACATCACAGATATCATACCATTTGGAGTTGATCTTTTTCCTGGGCCACAGTCCGTTGAGCGGCAGGGATGCGTTGGCTTGCCTCTCTTGGTCTTTTACCATTTTCCAGTAATAACTGCCTTTCATGAAGTAGGCTGCCTGATGTGTGTAGGAAAAGTAGACAGCATCTAGGTACCCTATTGGATGGTCTGCAGGGTTCACCGACGGGAAAACATCTACGATGCGTTTTGGAAAACCTTCAACTATTTTGTTCTTATCCACGCTGAATGCAGTCACCTAGAATGATTAGGGCCCGTTAGTGATTTGTATTAATCAAAAACATTTCTGAATCCTGAAAGTAGAGAATAATTTCAGTGCGAGTTATTATTATTAACTACAATTATTATTAACTACAAAGTCATTTCTGGGGTGACTTTGGCATTTTTAGATTCTCGATCTTTCATATTTTGTTATTATATTAAAGTCTATCTCCTGGAAAACAAAAACCATACCCTTGCAGTGGGGTTACCCCTGCCCTGCAAGGGCTAAGTGCTTGGTTATGTCTTCAGGACAATATGAAAGCTGTTTTACTTACCTGATCCCTGCTCCTGCCCCCTCCTTCTAGGCTGCTAGATCAGCCCCTGCAGCCTCTTCTCCCCTGGGCTCCATCGGTCTAAGGACCGCTGGCGTCATCCCATCTTATAGGATTTAATTTGAGGACATTTTGTATATATTAACATTCCCTACATTATGGACTGGATGTTGATAGGCATCTCCTGTCAGACGTTCATAAGGAGGCCTTCCCTTGGACCTTGTTTATTGTAACGTGTATAATAGTGTGCCGCATTTATAAGATATTCAAATAAATATTAATTTTATTTATTCACGTGTACACCTTGAAAGTCCTACTCTGTAGTTGTGTTGTAAGCTTCCTTGTTATGTCTAGGGGACACTATGAAAACTGTTTTTTACTTACCTTATCCCCGCTCCCGTCATCTCCGTCTAGGCTGCTAGACCAGGCACCTTAGCCTCTTCTCCCCTGGGCTCTGGCAGGCTAAGGAGCGCTGGCACCATCCTGTCTTATGAAGGTCCATTGACCTGCATTTAACGTGAGGGATATTCCAACATGCGTAGTGGAGGGAGAGAAGAAGTGGACACTGACCAGTACAGGAGCCAGGATCAGATAAGTAAAACAGCTCGGAATAACCTAGAAATTAAAAAAAAAAATTACACTTAACCCTTGCAGTGCAGGGGTAGCTCCACTGGAAGGGTAAGTTTTTGTTCTTTGCCCGGAGAGGACTTTAAGGTGTATGTAACCCTTAACTGACATAGTTTGCCAAAGCACCATGTATCATAAACACTTGCTTACTGTTTAGCAAAATACTTATTTTCACCTATTTTTCACTCTTTGTTGCATCTCAGTGCTGCTGATAACCCGCAGCCTTTTTGCAAACACTTCCTTTCTACGTGCACTCGAGCAATGGCTGCATGACATTTCTTAGGGCGAGGTTCCTGATGTTGACTATGCCTGTGTCATGTATGTTGAGATAGCTACTTAGAATAGGCAAACCTCTGTGATAGGGTGACAATGCAGGAGCACAGCTAGAAAATAGGGACAGTGCATCGTCACCCTATACCAGAAGGTGCCTGAACAAATACCTTCATGGCAGGATCACCTATTTTCATGAATGTTGCCGGTTTAAAAACATTTTGAAAATTAATTTTGAAATGACATTGCATGAGATTTTAGTGATATCTTTTACATGTACTTTAAATGCTTACACTTCCTTATTTGTGGTATTCTATTAAATATAGCAGTTTGTAGATTTGCCACTAGAAGAGATTTGCAATCTCCATTTTGTCTCCATTCTCCAATCACTCTGTCTCCGGCTGGCGAGAGAGGATATTATCCACACATGCAGTGCAATGTTTTTAATGAGTTTGCCAACTTATATATTTACATTATGATAAGGAGCAGTAAAGTTCAACCATTGTGTAACACTACAGAGCAGGAAGCAGATCCTCCAAAAGTAAAGAGCAGATATACAGTAGCTGCCCCATGTACATAGAGAATTACAAATTATACATACACAAACAACTTTTTTTTTTTATATTAACTTACATTAATAAGATTATTTTTGCTAAATTATGTTGCTTATAGCAATCAGTGATGTTCAACCTCATTATATTTCCACCTTTTATAGAACTGGCCAGAAATTCTGAAGAGTAACTCAAAATGTTTTAAAAGCCTTCTTTCTCTATTACTATATATTGTATAGTAATGACTAAATAGTATATACTGTATACTACTATATATTGTATAGTTTGTAGTACTATACCTCTATGTGCATAGAGGAAGTCATATGTTTCTATTACATACTCAGCCTGTGATTACTTCTTTGTAACACTACACAATGGTTTTTGATGTACTGTTCCATCTCACAGTACAAATCTATGAGGTGGCTGAACAATCGAAAACGTAATGTTTGTCACTGAAACATGAGGTAAGAAAAAAAATCTTTCTATGGGGTCCCCTATTTCAGTGACAGCTGTCTAAAAGGGAATTTCACTTGACTTTTGAGAGAATTCCTATAACTTCCTGTAATTTCTCTAATACAGGAAATTAAGTGAATATTCCTTATAGGACACAAATGCCCCCCAAAAAAAGACAGAAATTAAAGCAATTCTTCATGCTTAAAATGCTGGCTATACTGTAGAAGCACTTTGAAGCGATTCAGTTAAATAGAAACAAAGACAAATAGGGCTGTAATGGGGCTTAGACTTACCTTTCCAGCAGGTGGCATGTTCACTGTGATTCCTCCTGCCATCTGCCACGCCACTACTGTGACTTGTAGTGACATAGGTACCGGCAGTAGGGGCCACAGAGCTCAGCATGGAAAAGCTATCTGTAACATATTGGATAGAATCAGTTTCTGGATTTCTTTAGGAGAGTGAAGATATGACACACGACCTGCTGAAAAGACAAGTAGAAACCTTCTTCTTTTACAAGGGTGGCTCTCTTTAAACTTCTTTAACATAGTGGCAGGGTCACTTATATGGGGCTTTCACAAATGGTGGTCTTAGAGGTTTGATTTAGGCCCCTAATTATCAGAAAAGGTGTTGCCATCAAGGCCTGATAAGCACACCTTTCTTGAAACCATAGGTAGCTTGACAATCAAGGTCCAAAGCAAATGACACATGAGGTCCCATCATAAAACAATTGCATCTAATAAAAGTACATACAATATATGGGTACATACATTGTTTTGCCTGAAGAAATATATGAGTCGATCCTTTTTGTCAAAGAAAGCAGCATCAAGTGGACTTGGAGCCCCAGGAAAAGTCTCGGATATGAGCTGAGGATACTTATTTTTCTTCCAGTCTTCTGTATAAGCTGAGTCTTTGTCAGGGTCGTAGCGCCAGACTTGAGTACCTTAAAAAGAAAGGAAGCCATAATTAAATATGGGTCACCATCTGCATATGAACACAGAGATTAGACAGAGTTTGAGGGCTCCTAACTCACAGCAATGCCCTCACGGTAGTCATCTATTGCACTCAGGGCCGGATTTACTCTCTCTGCTGTCCCAAGGCCAGATTCCTCAAAGCGCCCCCTACCCGCCAAACCACTCCATGGAGAATGGCAGACTTGCAGGCTGCCTACTAGGCGGAACCGCCAAGATCACTTGTACATAGCAAGCGGTGGCTTACCCGCTGTACATTTAGCTCTGCTTGCCCAAAGCAGGGCTAAATGTAGAAAACAGCTCCCAGGCTTCGGGAGATAGGAATTCCACACCCCTGCTGCCCCTCTACTCCCTGCTGCCCCAAGGATGGGCCTTGGTAGGCCTTGTGGGAAATCCAGTCCTGACTACACTTACTACATTATCATTTTGCATGAAACAACATAAAGCAAATTTGTTTTGGAGGAGGCCGGTGAAATGCATTTTATAGGATTATGGAGCCCAACTCCACACAAAAATCTTTATTTTGCTTGGGATAGAGTTGGGAAGGTTTAGAGGCTTGGGGAGGTATGGCTTGTGGTTTGCCCATTTGGCACTTAATGTGTGGCCCTTGGGGGGCCCTGTAGACAGTACTCTTTGTTTTGATGCTTATTCAGGCTAGTGAGGAGGAAAACATTATTTAGACTGTTTTTTTGTGTTAACCATCCCTTTTCATGATTTTTTTCTTTGATCTTAAATAGAATCTTGCTGAGGGAAATATAACAATTGTGGCAAGGGGGCTGTTGGGAACACAAATGTGTCCCTTGTAGCATGTCCCCAGTCTCTGTTAATCTTCACTAGCATGTCCCCAGTATCTGACCATCTCCTGTAGCGTGTCTGCAGTCTCTGACCATGTCCTGTAGCATGTGTCATTCTCTGGCCATCTCTTGCAGCATCTCTGCAGTCTCTGACCATCTATTATAGCATGCTGATAGTCTCTGACCATCTCCTGTTGCATGTCTGCAATCCCTGAGAGCTTATTGCAGCACTACATTCACTGAATATTATGTGCAGTTCCTATTATGATGTTAGTGGCAGCACTTGATGTTCCCAATTCTTAGTAAGCTGACCACCACTGGTTTAGAGCCTGTGTCGGGTTTTGATTATCATCTGTGAGGAGAATTGATTCCTGTCAGGACCAAAGGGGACACGTACCAATTAATAGTAGTAGAATGGGTAAAGCTTTGAACTACTGAAAGTACTGAAGTTTTTATTGCTGTGCAAGCCTTCCTGTCCCTTATGATTTACAGGGATTCTTACCTTTAAAGAAATACTGGGCATCTATATTCCACGTCCAGACATGCACATAGGCATCTATGTCTCTGTCTGGAAGTCCTTTCCAGCCTGTTTTGATTGGCAGAGGATCTCCAAATCTTGTTCTGTTACCCTTGTTTTCATACATCCAGTACCAGCCAGTCTTGAAGAAGTAAGTGTTGAACCTGTAGAAGGCTTCTCCACGTGAATTCTTTTCCTTCCTGACCCAATCAAACACAGTGCTGAAGCTGCCATCGCATGAGCCTGGTGACAGAGTGATACAGATTAAATCTGGTGCTCTTCACATTTTGCATAATTATATGTACAGCATAGGTAGGTTACTTATAGCACCTCCCTCTACCTATATAATTTACCAGTCCCGCCACTGGTGACTTAGATCTTCACTCCCTCACTCCCCTGCATGGTGACACTTCCAGGTATGTTAAATGCCTGGTTCCTCTGCTGTGTGCTGTGGTTTCACCTGTCAATCGCCATGTCATTATTGCATCTCTGCAGAACTGTAGTGATGTAGTGGCCAGCAGGTAGAACCAAAGTGGCCAGCGGGGGGACACAGACACCCGATTTACTTGGAAGTGTCAGATACTAAAGCTGGCTATACACTTCTTCAATCAGTGTACAGTTGTAAGCAAAAATATTCAACCCCCATTGCAAATTAGGTTTATTGGCAAAATGTAAAGACTTTCAGCTGTTTGCAATGAACACATCAAACAAAAGCAATGACTTCTGCAGTCTCAAAATTATTCAACCACTTCATGGCAAGCAATTTTTGTACTTAATAGAGCACCCTTTTGCTGTCATAACCTGCTGCAAACTAGATGTATAGCCAGAACCCAGCTTCTGACAGTGTTCCTGAGGAATCTTAGCCCATTCCTCATGAGCAATGGCTTCCACTTCACTAATATTCATGGATTTGCGTGCTGCATCCGCCTTCTTCAAGTTTTGGGATTCTGTTCTGTGGTGCGATGAAACAAAACTGGAATATTTTGGCCTTATAGATCAGCGGTATGTCTGGAGGAAGAAGAATGATGCATACACTGAAAAGAAAACTGCCTACAGTTAAGCATGGTGGTGGTTCAGTTATGCTCTGGGGCTGCTGTGCAACCTCTGGCACTGGAAACCTGCAGTGTGTGGAAGGCAAGATGGATTCATTGAAGTATCAGGAAATGCTGGGAGAAAACCTCATGCCATCTGTGAGGAACCTGAAGTTTGGGTGTCATTGGACCTTCCAACAGGACAATGATCCCAAGCATAGCTCAAATTCTACCAAGAATTGGCTGCAGAAGAAGTCCTGGAAGATTCTACTGTAGTCATCACAGTCACCTGACTTGAACCCCACAGACAATTTCTGGTGGGATTTGAAGAAGGCGGATGCAGCATGCAAACCCAAGAATATTAGTGAACTGGAGAACATTGCTCATAAAGAGTGGGCTAAGATTCCTCAGGAACGCTGTCAGAAGCTGGTGTCTGGCTGTGCATCTCATTTGCAGCAGATCAGCAGCAAAAGGGTGCTGTACTGAGTACTAAAGATACTTGCCAGGAAAGGGTTGAATAATTTTGAGACTGCAGAAGTCAATAAAAGTTGCATTTTCAATTGGATTTGGGGAAACCACTTGAAACATTCTTTGTCTTGACCTAGTTCAAATGCTTTAATTTGATTTGTTCATTACAAACAGCTGAAAGTCTGTACATTTTGCCAATAAACCTGATTTGCAACAGGGTTGAATAATTTTGATTACAACTGTAGCTTATTGAACTGGTATTATTAACCTACTTTGACAGGGTTACTTTTTTTTTTTAGTGAGAGTCAGCAGGAGTAATTGAACTTATTGAACAGGTATTATTAACCTACTTTGACATTGTTACTTTTTTTTTTTTTTAGTGAGAGTCAGCAGGAGTAATAAAGACTTGGAATAGAAAGCACATGTGTTAAATCCTTGTTAATACTTTTTTGTTGTTGTTTTTATTCATGTGGAGAAAAGTTAGAACCTCTGAAAGGTTTTTCTGTGTCTCCATCAAGAAGGATTTCACTTTATTTTCTAGAGAGATGATGGTCACCATCAAGACAGGTGATATCTCCAATGAGGACACCTTCAGCAATAGAAACAGTTTGTAAAGCAAAAAAATTTATACAATTTAATATTCACCACTCCTGCTGCCCAGCCGGCCGATATCTGCTGTAGTAAAGAGAAACAGCTATCTGCACAGTTGCCAAGTGTCCTGGATCCTGTGGGATAGTCCTTAAATTTTGGGCACAGCCCCATAGTGTCTGCCTTCCGCAGGTTGTCCTGCGTGATCCAGAACACTTACCACATTGCTGCTACTTAATTTCACAGAACCTAAAGCTTTTCCAAACCGTATACCTTCCACCCAAAACTGCAAACTCCTCTGGAAAAGGGACTGATGCAATTGATTATTACAAAGTTTTTCAGAATTTCAGCTATACAAATAAATAAATATATTACCATATTTTTTCTGTACAGCTTTTCTGTCCTCCCAGTCCAACTCTAAGTGTTTCCCTTGAGGTGTATAGTTTGGCTGCATCACCGAGCCCAAGCGATTTATATGGGGCAGGCCAAGAGCATGACCAATTTCATGGACAGCAACCTGCAACAGATTATATTAGAAATAAATATTCTTGATTTTATTGTATGGGTTGTGTATTTCCTGCTAAAGAAAATTTGGTAAATCTGATAACCTGTTTTAGTTTTCTTCAACATATTTTTCTCATCAGTTCATAAACATAAATATTGTTGTTTTTGTTGAAAAAGTAGAAATGGAGATTTAACTAATACAAATACCTTATACCAATACAAATACCTTATACTAATACACATACCTTATGAATTTGCACTTTATTTCTTATTTTTTTTCTCCTCTTTAAAGATACAGTACATTTAAGTGCTGGTAAAATGGTGTTGTTATTTTTTTGGCTCATACAGCAATGCCCTACCCTATACTTTTCCCTTCATAGCAACCAGGAAAATGCAAACTACTCATTCATAGCTATTCATTTTATTTCCTTATGAGTAAATTTAATTTTTGTCAATAAGGAATCTTGAGATTTAGGATCCTCAGACTTCCGAGGAGGCTGTGGGATGAATGAGTAAAATCATAGGCCAGAAGTAAGGGCCGACTTTAAGATACTTTTACTATCTATTGCAATATTTTTTATAATAGCTAGCGATTCTACATCATGAAGGGGCGGGGGGATGTCCCGATACTATTTTTTTAAGACCAAGTACAAGTATACATCTGTACAAGTGTACAGATGTCACCAGGCTGCATGCGAGGCTCTGGGGGCAGACGCTAGGCTAAATGATCAGGCATCGGGCTGAACGATCGGGCACCAGGCTGAACGATTGGGACTGGGCTGAAAACTCGGGCACTGTGCTGAAGAAGCGGGCGGGGGTTTTCTGCCCTCCACGGGGCTGTTTGTTCGGTGTGGGGCTGTCCTTGGCTGTGCCTGCACCGGGAAGGAGGAGAAGGAGATATTGGGCCAGACAGGCACTGCCAAGGACAGCTACGGCCAGGTCCCCACAAGTGCGGCACCTCAGCAGCTGATACGTTTTGAAAATGTAAAAGGCCGTTATCAGCCTTTAGTATTGGGGCATTCTCAGGAGTACAAGTACTCCTGAAAATGCCCAGTATCCATATCAGGACATCCCTGGGGGGGACTTTTAATTAGTGGGGAGGGGGGTAGTGGTTGTTTTTAAGTGAAAGGTTCACTTTAAAAATGTACTATGGTAACTGTTCTGCATTACAATTTAAGATTTGTCATAACATAATATAAAAGGTATAAAACTTTGTGAACACATGTACTATATCTAATAATGTATCAATGTTTTAAAAACTTCCCTGGGACCTGCCATAAAAGAAATATGCAAACACAAAATAAAGTTCCTTCTGAAAATTCTAGTGGCCTCTAAAGTGCTAAATGCCTTACATCATACTGATCCAATGGCTTTCATATTTTTTCAGAACAAGTATGCAACAATTCAATTCAGAACTTCTGAGATTACAGAAGCCATGGGATCATCGTGATATGTTATTCTCATAAAAGGTATTTTTACAGCACAGACTCACTTTTAGAAGGCTGATTCCTTGTTCGCTGGTCGGACCAACAAAATGTTCATCATCATCAAAATGAATGTCTCCCAGGTACCAGGCGTGGGCAAACTCCTGCCCGGCTCCATCAAATGCCTGAGAACAGCCAAGGTGCTGCCCTGTGAAGATCCAGATAGTTATTACCATACATTTATGACAGAAATTGGAAAATGTGCACTTTGTGCCTTCGAATTTATTGCATCAAAATAAACTAGGAAACCGTTGGGGCTGCTTTTAAACAATAAAGTTGAAATTCAGGCAAATAGCTAAATGCACAATGAAACACATATAGTATATGTAACCTTTTTACCTGTCAAAGTATCCCTTCATGTTCATTCAGTCCAAAAATGTACACAGCTCAGCCAGCCTGGCAATTTGAACCCTTTCTCCTGTCCCGTCTACCCCCAGCTTTTGACTGGACAATGAAGGGGCAGACTAATGGCCCCCTCGTCCTTGTTTTGATCACTTACCTCTCTCCTTTTTCTGAACAGATAACTGTATATATTGGTGTTTTTTTAATACCAGCCAGGAGTTCAGCTGTATATGATTTTTAGCTTTTAATCTGTCTGTGCAGAGTGTAATTCAAATGCATCACTTTTTACTTTTGTAAACCAAGAACAAATGTATTATGGCTTACTGCACATTGTCATTTCATTGTGCACATTCTTAACCCGGTAACAGTAGCCTCCTACTTAATATCCATCCAGGGTGCTATGTGGAAAACCCCGTCTCCTGCAGATCCTTAGTTTTGCTCTAAACTGCATATCAATGCTGGTCATACACAGAACTATAAACCATATACTGGATTGTTTGAAACAACATATCTATTGAAAATGTTTTGCTTCCCAACACAGAAAGTGTGGCAACTGTACTGTACCTATGAGGGAGCAGCGTTGTCACTCTAGAAAAGGACTGCAGGAGACGTCCCCCTCTGGTCACAGTCAGAGGAGGCAGAGAGCACAGGAAGTTATCAGCTTACAAGATTTATTAAGGAATCAACAAGTAATTTGTTGCACTTATCAAACAGATATGACAAAATACTTTCAATGGTATGTTTAACAAACCAAAAGGGAGCAAATACAAGAGAGGTCCACTTCCTGTTCTGGTGACACCATCACTTCATGTTACATAGTTACATAGTATTTGAGGTTGAATAAAGACATTAAGTGAAAGTGGTCACTAGGACAAATATAGATGATGATTCTCTCCAAGACAGACAGCAATAAAAAAAACTAAAAATGTTCTAACCCTTAACTACTCTATCCAATACAACAAAGATTTCCCTTTTAATGGGAGCAAAAGGTGGCAAACAACCCATGCCGTAAAACAAATTGTAGGTTTGTCAACTCTCTTCACCATTAGTCAGAGTCAATCCGGCACTAAAACAATCACAGTTGGCATCTCATTGGTCACTCTGGCCAACAAACCTTTTTTTCATTATTAAGTTTTTTTTTATAGGTATGCTATGTTGACCAAAAATAATTGCCTTGTCCCATTAGGAATCCTTCAACTTAGAAATATGACTCGGCAATATCAAATAAAAAGAAAGGACTAACTGGAAACACTGGAACTTTATGAGTAGTGTTACAGTTTACGTTTAGAGGTTTGTGTTATGTTTAGAGGTTATAGTTAGGGGTTAAGAACAAGGTACAGTCCCGGAATCATCCCTTTTCCAGAATTGTCATGGTTTTCACTAAGCAAGAAATGATTATAAACTTGCCTGTGCCAAATCCAACTCGAATGTCTATGTCATCTCCAGTGAGATCCTCCTCAAATTGCAGTGGGATGACCTCACTCCACATACGGAAAGCAGTACGGAGTATTCTCCTCTGCTGTTCAATGGTCAATTGCATGCTGTACCCCTCTCCCATGAGCCTCCACTTCAATGTCCTCTTGGAAATACTCATGGCATTTCCGTTTTCCAGAGCATTTCTCTCGTCCCGTTTCTTTCTATAGTGATTCACCAGTGTGGCCAGAACACTTCTCCTTCCACGCTGAGTTCTTTCTGGTTCCATGGAATCATGGTCTGTTTCATTTGTCGCCAAAAGGCTCAAAGTTGCATTTTTACGTCTTGATGGTATTTTGCGGTCAGGAACACCACAACGGGGTTTGTTCATGGCCAGTTTGGTGGGTGTGTCCAGGATGCCCGTGGCATTTAGCCCATTGGCCTCTTGAAATTTTTTCAAGGACTCAGAAAAAGATGGGCTTAACTCCGTCTTATCAGGAGAAGGAAAGAAAGAGCGTTCTGATGAATCGCCTTCTGAAATGAGTTGAGAGACATCTTGTGGAGCTTGGTCAAGTTCAGGTGAATCTCCAAATCCCTGCTCCTCCCAGTTGACAGGATTCACCCAACCATATTTTACCAGATATTGCTGCAAAACAGAAAAAAAAAACGGAATCTCAGAGCCAAGTGATGCACACATTAGGTATTATATAAAGTGGTTTTGAACACATGTTCTTTATTCATTTATTGTGGATTAAAGCAATAAAATGTTTGTTTCTTTTTTTTAGTCAGGTACTATACATATTAAATATTACATGTAAATATCATGTAGTCTTTTATTAAATCAGTTCAATCAGATCAGTTAAAGCTGACGTTTAATCTATGTATGTATGTTGTGCCTTCCCTGGTCCCCCCCCGCCCCCATCAACATGCTAATTAACTTTTTACTAAAATCTTTCAATTTTCATGATATGCCTTACTTTAGACCCAGTGACATCATCACTAGGTCTCTAGGAAATGCAAGAAGATCATTGCTGGTGGGAGGGGTCCGGCAGGGTGTTGTACATACCTTTCTGAAAACATCACATCACCCTGCTTCAGTTCTACTCTCAAGAGCCCTCATTCCTGATGCAAGCAATGAGCTGGCTCTTGGGAAGAGTTATGCAAATATCAAATTGTCTTCATGGATGGTCAGTCTGGATGAGTGAGCTTTCCTAGGCAGGCTGCATTTGCATGCAGGCTGCCCTAGACAATGTCCACAAGTGATACTGAGCCTTTGTCGTTGAAAGAACTGAAATTCCATGAATCAAAGGGGTGGATCACGGACAGTCAGGCTGGGGAGGAAAGGGCTGGAGAATTCTGGGCATCCTCCAGCCAAGAAATAAAATGGGCTCTTTTGGACTTGTGGAATCTTCTAATGCACATTTGAGAAGCTCACAGTGTGCAGTGAAATCAGGGCAAGCAATTTCAGTACAGCAGAGAGGTGCCTGTGCAGAACAGAAGGTAAAGCTGGAGTTTAGTTTTAAAAACATTTCAATGGATCCAAAACCATTATAGTTTCCAGTTAACTATGTAACAGCACTATATAGCCAAATGTTTGTATTCAACTACCATCATACCTACCTATATGACCAGAAGTAAGTGGACATGCCTCCAATTTATTGAGTTCAGATGTTTTCAGTCAATGGTATGGTTATTGCTACAACATACAAATACATTTGAGACAATTGTGGACTTCTAAACTTGTAGTAAGGCCCTTTTCTGCCCTTCTGTCCCTGTGCATGAAGCCAGGTTCATAAAGACATAATTTGAGGCATTTGGTGTGGAGGAACTTGAGTCTCCTGCACAGAGCCCTGACCTCAACCCTACTGAACAGCTTTGAAATGGATTGGAATGCCATTTGCCAGTTAGGTCTTCTCATATAACAATTCCTGAACTCGCAAATGCTCTATTGACTGAATGTGCACAAATTCACACAGACACACAATCTTGTGGAAAGTCTTCCCAGAAGAATGTAAGCTGTTATAGCTCTCTAGTAAGGGGGGTGGTGGGCAACCCCTTGGTTTTTCAATAGAATGTCCATATAGGTGTAATGATCAGGTGTTTACAAATTTTTTTAAGCTGTGTTGTATATACTATGACTATATTTAAGTTACATTTTGGTCAAAGTCAAACATGCACATTTCAGAGAATAAGGGCTACCTTGGCTATGTGTTTTAGTATTCATTTTGCGTAGATGACTTTGCCGCTACAATAATATTGTATGTGTTAATATGTGCTGGTCTGTTAATCTGTTTATACAACACTATGGCATTTAAGAGGGCTATACTATGGCATGGAGTCATGCAACAAGACGGCGCATTCTTGCTCAGGAGCCCTTTCTAGAAGCCTGAAGAACCTGACTTCAATGGATTACAGAAACTTATTTCTTTTACTTTTCGGCTTGAGTTGCTTTTGATATATTTCCTCCTCTGGTTTTAGTTAAATAACATTATTAATCTTTCCAGATGGAAGATGGAGAAATGTTTCCTGGGTGGGCTTGTACGTGCTTTGACTGTTATGCTGGATTATGAGTGGGAAAATGAAAGATATTCTATCTGATATCTCTTATTAATTCACATCCAAAGAAAACTGAACAGCAATACACCCACTCTTCTTAATGTACACACAGTGCTTGGTGCAGGTTTGACAGGAGGATGTTTACGCTGACTTGTTCATTTTAAACTGAGATATTATGACATGTGTTTTCCTATTAACCGATGAATTTCCATTCTAGCATCCTGGAAGTTTAATTTGTTCCAATGGATTCCAGAGAATATGAGAACTACTTGAAACTAAAATCTTGATACTTGAATCTTAACACATTTATTTTTAAAGCTACTTTTAATTTGTTCTGTTTTTGTTTTTACTTATTCGCTTAATATTTGTTCTAGGGTATTTTTTATTGTAAACTTTATGTTTATTGTAAGACACTCTGTAAACTGTTTTTTCTTGCTATGTATATAAAGTGTTTGTTACTATTATATTTGAAGATATGTACGCCATTATGGTCAGCCTAAAGTGTATTTCCACTTTCACAACCAAATTGGGATAACGCAGGGGCGTCCCGAGGCCGGTTGTCACCCGGTCTCCAGACTGGGTGTTTCCCCGCCGTGAGGTCATCACGCATGCGCGGCCATCTGATTGACGCCTGCCGGCGGCCATCTTGGTATTGGATGCCGGCAGAGGGAAGAGGGGACGTTCACCTGGCGGGATGAGGTATGCGGTTGGGCCCCCTCCTCTCTCCTGACACTGTCGGGCTCTCGGTCCATGACCGAGTGCCTGACTTTTTAGAGAGGGGGGCACCAAAATCACTGTCAGTCATTTCGGTGTCACCCCTGCAATGGTTTCACCCGTGTGTGGGCCAAACCTCTCGCACCCCCCTTGTGACGCCACTGCGATAATGGCTATTTTATAATTGTTACATGTTCCCATTCACATAGCATCTGTTCCATTAGGACAGATAATTTTGAAGTTGTTGAGAAAAACCTGGAATCAGTCATCTTGCCTGCTGTAACAAAACATCTAAAAGGTAAGAAATATGTTTTTTATTTTTTTATTTTTCAGTATGCTGTGTGAGCAGGAACAGATAACAAACATATAGAGGGGTTTTCTCAAATTTGACTGCAAAAGTGGAAATATACTTTAAACAAATACATTTCTGACACTTTATAATATACTGTAACAGTGACACTTTCTAAAAAAATCTTACCGTTTACCATTAAAAAAGGGCCTTGAGCAAGAATAAGTAACTTTGCCAATGCGGAGATGGGAGTACTTAGCAAATGCTTCTTCCTGCCTAGGCAAAGTTACTTCACTGGATCTCAAGGCTCACTTTAATGATAGAAAGTAAAGCTTTTCTGAAAAATTGTACTGTTACAATATATTGTGACATCTCAGGAGCTTTTGATGCAGACTTGTAAAGTTAGGCCCCGTTCACATTGAGCGATTTATCGCGCGGTAATTCCCGCGATATCGCAGCAATTTACCCCGCGATATCGCTCTCCAATGCTTCTCAATGGGGCAAAGGGTCCTGCTGTCGCGGGTCGTGCGTCGCTACAGCAGGACACTTTTTGGAGCAGATCTAGCCGCGATTCAAGCTTGCTCAATGCAAGCATTTGCGCGATATCGCGCAACAAACTGCGCGATATCGCGCAAAATGCAAATCGCGCGACAAACGCGCGATTTGCGTACCGCTCAATGTAAACGGGGCCTTAGAGAAAAGTTTACTTGAAGCATACTGGCTTTTGGTAGGCAAACTTTAAAGTGAGCCGGTGATTTGCCCAAGCAAAGCTACAAGGTCAGTTTAGGGTCTCACCTTCTGTTCGCTCCCTGCTACCCTATTTAGTCACGTGGATCGAATAGAGAAAGCACTGTGTTAGATTCAAAGTGCAAATGGAGCTTACACAAGGCTAAAGGCTCTCTTCAGCCTCCATGTGACAGTGCTGGGTGCTTGAGTGGCAAATCATTCAGCACCAGCTTTGTCCATGGGAGGAAGGTGAGTGAGTCACATGCTCCTCATAGCTGAAAGTACTAGGTATTTATCTGCACTCTCAATCACTGAATGTATGGGTGGGGATTTGAAAGGTAAGTTTAACTTGCATGGACAAAGCACAGTATTACTTTAATTCCCCACATCAAAAAAGGCTTTTGAAATAAGTTTGCTTAAATGGCAATTTTGCTTTAAATGCTGGTCACACACAGTCAGATTTTGTTTCAGATTTGATCTGATCGTATCCCTGACTCTTTAGACATTATCACTTACAGAGATTTTACAACATTTTTGTTAATCTCTGTGTGACCAGGATAATTATCTCTTTCTGTCCAGTGCTGAAACTTGCATGGACAACTCTACTCCATGGGACCAATAGCAAGAGAAACAATGCTGCAATGGACGACAATGTCCCACTTCCATTGTTTTCAGGAAGACGTCTGGTTGTCTGAGCCAGATAGACAAACAACCGTGTAGTATGAAAGTGGATATAAAACTAGACCCTCACAGCTACAATCTGATTGTATGAGACTAACCTTATTCAGGTCAACGCTATACCTTCAAACGTTCTGAGATGAGAAAGAGGGTCACCCTCAAGCACAATGTATTGAGGCAATGGACACACCCTGCCACACTCCAAGCTATGTGAACCGTTAGGAATTTATATGCCAGAATTTGTTTTTTTTTTATCACCATTACTTTTCCCCTATTCTGGCTTTTCAAAATAACAAACAAGATAATTAGGAGATAGAACGAAAGTTATAGTGCAGAATGATAGTGTTGGTAGTTAAACAGAACCGTTTCACATCTGTACGTTACACCAAAAAAAGAAAAGGGACAACTGAGAAGGGAAGCCATAGAGGGGCTTAGTTCCAAATAAGGTACAGTCCCTCCATATGAGGGACAGATGGACACATAAAGTTTCTTTTTGTTCTTTGATATCCAAGTGCAATTCCCTATATCAACTGATGAGGAGAACCATCTTTCTGTTTGTCAATTCGGTAGCGAGAAGTGACATCACTAAACTATCAAACTGATAATTAATTCTATAGAATAACATCAGTGAGCAAAACATCTCCTCTACTTCATTCATTCTATAAAGACTTTCAACCCATTCCCTGCTGAGGTTTTGCATCATATATCCACCCCTGTATATTTTTTATTGACATTTGCAGTAAGACTTTATTTTATCTTCATGTAATCTAAGAGAAACTGTAACCTTGGCTTAAGTGTGTGCAATAAAACAAATGTAAAATCTACAAAGAAATCAGATTTGCCACTGAATAGAAATCCTACAGACTAGTGCCTCTCAGGAAAATCAATTACTCATTTTAAGTCAGCAGAGGGAGCCATATATTTAAAAGATCTTTAGAACAAACCTAGGCGATACTAGCAGTTTTAAAGGGAAAATAGAGTGTATTTTCAAAAAGCACTTATTTGGGGTTATTATTGTGCTGTTTACAGTACTTAAAGTGTATGTCTGGGCAAAATAGAAATAAAAACTCAGTACATCTCTGCAATACATGCACATTTCCTCAGCCTTTAAAAAGATTGAAAGTACAGAATTTGTTTTCATTATTTTTAGTTATTCTGTTTGAATAATAACAAATAACAAGCATACAGTTTTGTTTTCTAGGATTTGACTCCCAGCCACCGGGAGTCTGTTTACCTGTATGGAGCCAACTGCTGGCTTTACCCTGGAAGCAATTCTGGTGGCTGAAAAGCCGCCTGATTGCTTCAAGGGGCCAGTACACAATGCCCCCCCCTTCTGGCCACACAACCCCTGCCTTGCTTCCTGGGCTCTTCTGCCCTTCCGGGCCCCTGTGGGTTCGGGACAGGCATCACAGGTGTCATCGGGTAGCAGGGAGAGAAACCAGTGAACATCTGTTTGCTGATCTGCTCCCAATGAATAAAACCAGAAGCAGCCCTTATTGCATTTTGGTTTCTGAGCTGTCATTCCCTGGCTAGAGGAGAAGGGGAAGAAGCTGATTGAGCACAATCTGTGCTCGATCAGCTTATTTGGAGTGCAAATGTGACATTAGGGGTCTAAGTTAAATAAATGAAGTTAAATTAAAAAAATGTTTTAAAAGAATAGAGTTTAATAAAATAAATGTAAAAACACGCAAAAAAGTTGTTTAAAATCCCTCGTGCCCGCAAACACGTGAATATGCACATACTAACACAAACATGTGTCGGGTGCGCCTACACATGAAAACGTTGATTGCATCACACATATTAGGTATCGCCACATGCGCCAGAGTGAAATCAATAATTCTAGGGCTAATGTTTATGGTTAACTCTGAACAGTGCAGGCTTTTAAAGAATGTTCACTGAGCTTTGCATATGCCCCTCAGTGTACAGTCTAGAGCAGATACTTTAACGTGGAAGTAATCTTATAGCCGATGACTCTATTTCTACTAACGATAAGAAGATAGATGGCCAGTGAATTTAAAAGAAAAGCCCCCTTTTTTCCCTCTGCTTTCTCCAGGCACAAGGCTACTTTGCCTAATGCTAAATCCACCCAATAATACCATAGCTAATTATAAAGAATAACACACCACTTCCAAACATTTAACTGTTCTATCATTGTGGACAGGTAAGTGTTGGTAAGGCAATTTGTCTTTAAATATGAAGCTGTCCTTTAACTGTTTGGGCAGCTGTCCATTAAAATATAACATTTAGGTGGGAGAAACAAGAGACAAACATGTTCCCCATGTAAACTTGACAGAAACACCACTGAGTCCTTCAAGGAAGTCCCATAGGGAGACTACTGCTATCCTCTCCTCAACATTTAATCAGTAGGGCTTTTTATGTAATGATAATGGACCCAGGTCACAAAGCTGAAGAACTCAAGAACATGGCATGATGATACTACAGACAATGTCACAGTAAAGGAAGCATTAGTGATGTAAAAGAAAGTGTGACTGGAGTGGTGAGACTTAACAGAGGCTGGTGGTGGTGTATTAAAAGCTTATATGTACAATACAAGTCCTAAGCAAGCTCCCAACAAAGGTGGACATGAAGATGGCAGCAAACTTGCAACACAAAGTAGTTTAGCATGCACACATATACCAGTGATGCAGTAGCCCCAACCTTATTTCTGCACAGGTGACCTCTACAGTCTATGTCCTATGTCCTATGTCATTAGTGTAAATAGTCATACTAACTCAACTGGTCATACCTGTGCTGCTTCCGGACTCAGAATGGCATCAGCTTGTGGGTGGCTTTGTAGTTCTACATCGGAATGGTCTCTGTTATGGAAGAGTTTTTCCGAGCTTGTCCCCTCCAATGAGTACAGCAGGTAGAGGAGAGTTAATGGGACTGACACTTTTTTCAGGCAACCAGATTGCTCCATACCAGTTCCAACTGACCGTCTTCTGTTTTCATGTGATCAGTGTTCAGTACACGTGATGTGTCACTTGTAGTCAAGTGCTTCCACTAACTATTAGTACTTTTTCTCACCTTGTCAGTTTTTTGAACTTTTCACAGCTTACTCTTCAAAGGCTGAAAAGAAGAGAAAATTACATTTAACTGTATCCAGCATGGTTGACTTACAATGACCCAGCTTTTAGTCATTTTATGCTAAAAATTGATGATTGCATTATGCAATGAAAAAACACCAGATCTTGCAGCCCACCAAATCTTGCAGTCATTGTCCCTGATCTGGTTTTTTGACTTCTGCCATTTGGGGATAACATGAAATGATTATGTTACATGCTGTATGTACGCACTCTTGTAAATAAGTCATTACATCACAATGTGATATACTGAAAGTCAAATAGCTCAGTGTGATATGGTACATATATATTACCTAGACAGCTATTTCTATTTCAATCACTTCTAAAAACACCAATCTAAATACAAGCAAGTGTGTAAAAGAGCAGCGAGGGAACGAAAGAACTATCTTTAATGTAATTTATTCATTTTGTGAACATTTTTCCAAAACTTTTTTTGAAAAATAATGAACGCCCAAAGCAATGTTTAATACCAGATCCTGCATATGTATCATTCTTTACAAATTGTTGTAGCTGCTGCAGAAATTAAACTGAAAGCCACAAAATGCTGTGTAAGGACAAATTGTGCCACATATAAAATAAGAATAATCGGTTAATTTTATAGTAGTTATCAAATATTGACATAGTACAGCTGTGATGTTTCAAAACTAAACATATACATTTTGAAGATAACTCCAATCCATATACAAAACAAACTGCTTAGTATTGAAAAATCAAACTTCTGCTGAGCTGGTTAAAACTGGAATTAGCATTAAAGTGAATTGAAAATGTTATAAAGTTTAGTAAATGGTAACAATTTTGTAAGATTCTTTCCTAAAACAGGTAAATATTGTTCACAGAATCTCAGATAGAGGCAGTTTGCTCTCTCTTTGGAGTTGGGTTATGTTGTACTTACTTGTTTGGAAGTTTCCTGTTCTGTGAGATTCTCTCTACTCTCTGCAGAGCCTTGGCAAAGCTTCTTTAACAAGGTCTGCGCTTTGATGAGACCATCCCACCCCTGAATAAATCATAGGCTATCATGTGAACTGTCATACAAGCTGTTAGCCTTTGACAAATAGGGCAGTGAATGCTGAAGAACCTAATGATGTATTTCAAGTACAGGGGCTACTTGTCTACACTTGACTGGTCCTGGCTGTTCCCAGGCATCTGAAATGAGGACAGTCACCTCTAAGAGGGACTCAATATTGAGGTCTTTAATGACTTGGAAATATTAACCTGCAATGCTGAGAATGGGCCAACATATGAAGTCACCATTCTTGCTTCTGGATAAACCTGTGATGTTCCCATGCATTTCAATCCCTTGTTCAGCAGAAAGTCAAGTTAATCATCTATGCATAGGAAAATGTAAAAGGAAATGTCACCTTCTTGAATACCCTTGTATTGAAATGTAGGTCAGTAAATTAAAAGTGTATCTTTACTTTTTGAATTTAGGGCCACTTTAAGGACTGCTAACGTTTCTGATCTACATACATGTTCCAAGTCAGTCATCAGTAAAGTAATAAAACCAAGGGTCTGCATAATACTCAGGCAACCACGGCAGCCCCTGTAAATCTTTTATATTTCACGTAGCCCTCATTCCCTGGATCCATAGAACATCAATTTCTTTAGTGTTGCCAAAATCTGCAGAATTAAAATATCAGCATCATTGTATCTTCCAGTGAAATTATGTTGTGTTTATTATTTTACAATGATTGACTGTTATACATGGAAGTGTGTGAGACATAACTGCACTAGTTCTGTAGGCACTCTTGCACTCCCTATGTAGATTTGACGTAACATGCGGGAACCTGAAATAGAGGTCAATACAGTTGTCCGTTGGCTAAGCCCAATGACGCAGCAATGGCTGCATCTACCTATTTATCTTTAAATATATAATTTGCTTCTCTCCTTACAATTGTATTTTTCTTTCCTATTAGGGACGTTACCAGGAGATTATTATAATGGACTGGCCCCAGAGTTTACAGTAAGAAAGTTTTTGATTAAACAGTTGATTAAACTTATGTATTTAGAATAATTATTTCTCAGAATGTTCAAAGAAGTGAAAGCCTTTAGACCACCTACAGACCTGGCTTCTTGGTGGGGAGCCAATGTAATGAGTCATCGCATGCTTCAGCCACTGCCGAGGCTGCCCAGGGCTGTTTGTGTATGACTGAGAGTCGATGCAAGTAGGAGTATAGATGTGATAACTAGCAATGTGAAGACAATTCCGCCAAAAAATTATGTGTTTAACATGATTGTTTGCAAATTGAACTCCTTGTTGGTTTCGTACACGCCTTGGGGCCTTCAGTGGGGAAGCCCCCTATCAGGATTACCAGCTTTGCCCACAAGTAATAGCGAATACAAAGCCATATAATGGACATATAATGCTCTGAAAGCACATACCAAGAATAGCCAGCATCAAAAACCAATATAGCATCATTATCATCTAGTGGGACAGGGTAAAGGCACAAAATACTGTATGGAAACATGACCTAAGGGGTCATCAGAAGTGATTTAACCCAACCATATCTACATAAAAACCTACCTTTAAAGGAAACCTCCAGTCAGGACAGAAAACATAATTACAATAATTTGATTTCCAGAGGTGCCTGTCCTCAAGTATTAAACTTAGTTCATGGCAACTATGCACATATACGGCATATAATTCCAAACTGGCGTTGCTGAAGAAATATTCTTTAAAGCTGAACTCTAGATAGCTATAAAAGCCACAAATCAAGGCAGCTCTAAAATCATTAACATGCCATTAAATGTGGTTATTAAATGCAAGCAGTGTAAGCACCTAATTTGACTTGGTATCACGCTCTTGCGGTCCCTCTACAGCAGGGATGGAGTGTAAAGCTGGCCATACACCTACAGATTATCTGCAGATTTTCTATGGTCTGATGGAAAAAGTGCAACAGATTCCTCCCTCTATGATAAACTGTGTGGATGGAGGAATCTCCCACGGGGCCAAGCTTCATGTGGTGAATTGGTGAATTTTGTAGCAAAAGCTGGTTTTGCTATCATCTCTTTTAATGGGCTATTCATTTTGTAGTGCCTGCACTCCCATAGTTTGCAGCCTATACCTTGTTACTTAGCCATTCCCCTTTGGCCCCACTACCCCATACTTTAATTATGATTTCAGTTGTTTCAAAGTTATCTGCTCAGTTTGAATGAATGCCACTTTGGCAGTGTCAGTTGTCCCTACAAATAGTTCTGAATAGCTCTGGCTTTTTTACACCAGTGGGTGCCAGGGCCAGATTGCCACCATGGGCAAGGTCTTATGCTTATGACTAAGAACTTGGGGCACCCTTCCTTTAACTCACCAGTTTTTCATTTAAAGTGGAAAGATCTTTTAATTATCAGGAAAAAACATCACTATTAGTCATGCTAGACAAGAGCTTTTAAAACAGACAAAGGATTTTCAGTCCTAAACTACAGTGACCCCCTCTCCAAGTGCAAACTATCCAGCATGTCTGAGATATTATTTCAATCAATTACCTTTACTTAAAAACAAACATGATTGAGGTCTGAGCATTTCTGTACTCATTCCTGTTCTAGAACAGTCTATTACTTACAGTGATTTATTGTCAGCACATGATTAGGGTTACTATCAGTTGAGTGATTTTGCCAGTGTATGTGGTTTTTACGTGCAGGACTATCCAAACAGAGCAGCACCCCCACTAATTGAGCTGTGATTTATTCATATTGACTGGCTGTTCTGTTCTGTAGGGATTTGGTGTTCCACTACTGTCCAATTAAAAAATACAACAGCAGATGTTTAGGTTTGATGTACTAAACCTTTACACCTGAACCACAGAAACAGACCAGATTAAAGATTTAAAGTAAATTTTTGCTTTGCCCATGCCGGGCAAAACAACATGGTCATTATATGTCTTATTCTCACCTCCAAACTGTCCCTCTTTGTACCATTTAACACAGTAGAGTCATTGCTGAAATGAGACATTGAACCGGGAGAGTAAAAAAAAAAAATTAAAAATAGCAATTAGGTACTTTCCAGCTGCCTTTTCTTTGGCTCAGATTAAAAAGAAAGCAAAACAAAAAACCATGCACCTCGGAACACACAGAATTCACATTTTTGGCGTATCTTAGTAAGAAAGGGATAAACAAAGATTAGCACCTCTAATGAATACCAGAAATGTGATGCCAATCCCTGTTCACAAGTCAGAGATTTCGAGTTAGTAGGAATTGTGTGCTGGCATTTCATGTATACAGTTTCTTCCTCTGAAAAAGTCAGTCTGATTCAAGTCAGTTTAACCCCTTCATGACTGAGGCCCTTTTTTCATTTTTTGCACCCATGTTATATTCCACATTTTAGGCCTGAAAATGATGTAAAACCCCCCAACATTATATATTTTCTGAATGCCAAGACCCTATAGAATAAAATGGTGGTAGTTGAACATTTTTATGTTGCGCAATATTAGCGCAACTCCTTATTAAACCCCAAAATTTTGTGACAAATTTAATTAAATGCCCCAAAACACAACAAATTACCCATTTTTTAAATGAAATATAAAAGATGAGGTTACAACGAGTAAAACGATACCCAACATGCCCAGTTTACAGATTGCGTGCGACCGTGAAACGGTGAAAAACTGCAGTACCCCAAAAAGTCAATAAAAGACGCTTTAAAAGCCCCCACAGGTCATCAATTTAGATATACCCCAAAATACTGGCCCTAGAACTATTCCTCTCACTCCGGCGTGCGTGGCGATACCCAACATGTGTAGCGCGTTCGTCGTTTTCATGCGTAGGCGCACCCGACGCGTGTTTACGTGGCGACGCGCGTGCTCGCGGGGGCGGGGTACTTTTAAAATTTTTTTTTATTATTATTAGATTTATTTTATTTCATTTTAATTTTAAAAACTGTTTTTTTTTTTTTTTTTACTTTACTTTGACTGCTATCACATGGGGGGGCTTGCAAGCCCCCCCATGTAATAGCAGATGGTGGTGACAGGTCCTCTTTAAGGTGATGCTGGGGGTCCAAAAGACCCTCAGTGTCACCTTTACACTGGAAATAAGCTATTGAAGTGCAGATCGCACTTCAATAGCTTATAGCTGGGCTGCAGGAGCCCAGAACTGACAGCCCAGGGACCGGAAGTGATGCAATCTGCATCGCTCCCGGTCCCATAGAACGGGGAGGGGATCGATGAACGGAAGTTCGTCGACCTCCTCCCCAGCTCCCCGCGGACACAAAGATCGCCGGTCCCGGGCCCGTAGGAGGGGCAACGGAGCCCGGGAAGCACGGCGGGGGTGTCCGGCGGGGGGGGGCGGCCCCTTCTTCGGGACGCAGAAGCGATCTGGCGACAGGTAAGTCGCCAGGATCGCTTCTGTTGTAAAGCCGACAGTCGGCTCTACAAGTTTAAACAGACTCCCGGCGGCAAAAGTCGCCGGGAGTCTGTTTAAACAGCCCCGATGCTGGCGACGTACACTGTACGTCGTCAGTCACGAAGGGGTTAAAGAAGATAATTTAACACATTTATTACAGGGGTCTTCCTGCCACTAGAAGGACACAATTCTATTGCCCTAAAAACCCAGTAAAAAATAGATATGTTCAGCAGAACTCCATGTATAACTATTTTTTTTTCTCTTTCTGCAGCATTTGGAAGGGCCATCTTAAAGAGACCCTGTCACCAAACCACTCTTTTTTACAACAATCTTCCTCTAAAATATTTTGTGCATTTAACACATTTTGGGCATGTTATTCACCTGTACAAGCCTATCTCGTGTAGACATCCAAAAGCCCTGAAAGTACTCCTGAGTGGTTCCATCCCGGATGTGATGTCAGGAGCCCCAGCAGATTCTGAGCTGTCACTCAAGTGAGAAAGGGGCTGTGCTTGTTGAACTGTCTCTAGCTGAAGGAGTCAAATTTGCTAGTAAGTTTAAAAGCACATTGCAGGCAAATAAAAAATAATTTATGGAAAGAAAAAATGTGCTTTAGCTGCATTTTTTTTTAAATTTGATAATAGGGTCTATTTAAATCCCAATTGGGGTCACAGAAAAAAAGTCAGATAGACTTTGTACTGTTGTCCTGTTACGGGAGTTGTACAAAGTGTCTCAACATGATTGTGCAGTTCAAAATGCAGTTAGGGTCCATTAACACCAACAGGCCCTTGTTTTGGTGCATGTATTGCAC